AGCTCTGGACTGTCAGGTTTTAGAAATAAACTTTGCCATGTTGCTAGATAAGAGAGCCGCTCCATCCAAAGTGGGATGGATGCCGTCTCTCCTAATCAGACCAGGTTTTCCCCAAAAAGGCTTCCAGTTATCAATGAAGCCCACATCGTTTTCTGGACACCACCACCCCAGAAACAGGGAAATGTGGGCAGGATTGTGAGCATTGGATGTTAGAGCGATAATGCATGGAGGACTCTAAGATATTAGCATTCCACATATTGAATATGATGCATCATATCAGATACTATATAGTGTCTTCACTCTATCCCTGCCCTTTGCACCCAGTGCCAGACATGCAGCATCCGTCCCATTATGCAGCACATTGCATAAACAACAGGTGCATCTCATTTCTCACCTTGCTTTCCTCGAGTATATGGTGGGGCAAGAATTTTAGCCACATGAGCAGTTTGATTGTAAGGATTTGCAATGTTGGCCTGTCAGTCCACTCAACATAGTAAACATTGTACATCACATTGTTAATATTTAGCTAAAAGCTAAGACTGGAAACCTTGAAGTACGCCGACCAACACCTCTGTAGCTCACTAATCCAGACAAAAAGTGCCAGAATATTTAGTTGCAGGCTATGGCTTTGACATGCAAGATATAAAGATATGTTAGTGTGAAGTGCTGGTTGGTAGGAGGATTCTGTTACTTTCGGACAGAGCCAGGCTAGCTGTTTCCCAGTTTCCAGTCTTTATGCTAAGAGGCTGTAGTTTTGCATAGCCAATACATCCCACTGTATCACCAGTAGTACTCAATCACCAACAGATTTCCAATGAACAGATATGTTGGTCTGATAATCGACTTCCACATTGGATGCTACTGTATCCTCGCTGCAGCCTCTTTAGGGATGGCAGACCTGATTAATGATTCCCCAGTCAAGTGAGGATGGTGGACATGAGAAGACACATGAAGCACACTTAAAGATAGACTCAGACTCTGAGGGAGAGATCAGTCACACCATCGCTTGGTCAGTATTTCCCAGTCAGTATTCATCCAGACAGACCTCTGTGTGGGATCTATATGCACCTAGAAACAATGCATCCCTCACCCTGCTTCACTGAAATGCATGGGAGAGTTGTCACCTGCAAAATGAAAGGATGCAGCACATAGAAATTAGAGTTTATGGTAATTAAGAAGAAGGACCAGGATGCATTCGTTTCCTGCTGCCTATACTGGGGTTTTGCTTAGTCTTCAGAATCGGCACCATCTCAAGTCCCATTTGGACTATTCAGAGATGTGAGAGAGTGATTGAGTGATGCTGAACACTTAACACATCTTACCCAGAATCTTTTAGACAGTTTCAGTCTTATTTATTAAAAGTAACCCACCTGCAGCCACCTTTCTGAGAATTTCTAATCATTCAATATTGTGAATTATAGACCTGCTTAAAGTGTGTTCCTCTTGGACCTTCCCCCCCTTAGTTCTGTTCTGGGCTACTGTTGCATGGGGGTTCAAGACACCATGATAAAAAGGTAACAAAAACACAAATCCTATTTTCTGGTAATCCTACACTAATGAAAACCTTTGAATTTTATATTCGATTACTCATTTATCCTAAATGTCACACACTGGACCTTTAAGTCAGAGATTTTGTATTACTTCACAAGGCCTGGAATGTATTGGTTTGCCCCAAAACCACAGGGGATTATGAGAATGTGTTAATCCAGCCAGTCTCTGAAGAGTTGGTCTGGCTCAGAGCAATATATAGATCTGCTGAATATTGAACAGGAAGCTTACATTCACAGGAGCCATAATGAGCATACATTACTATGTTTTCTTTCTTTTTGTGCATTGAACATCATACATTGTTTTGAAGTTGGATGATTGGGTGAGTTCATTGATTGGTCAACCAATAAATAATTGAGGACAGATATAATAAGTGATTAGGCACTTGTGTTTTTACTGTGGAGATTCCACACATTTTCAGTTTCAGCCTTTGATGCATCGGTTTACTTGAATGTGGACTGAGTTAATTCTGGTTTCTGGACTGATAGAGAGACAAAGGAGTGATTCAGCGACATCTTTTGTGACTTCTCTGCTGTAAATGTGGAGTATCATAAGGAGTTGAGAAAAAATGAGATATAGATAGATATATATAAAAAATATAAATTCTAAATCAGTTCAAGGGCAAACATTTATTTCAGCACATTGTTAATAACGTTATGTTTACCAAAAACTAATTCACAAGGGCACAGCGCAAACCCTGATGTGTAGAGGGCACACATACTAAGTTATCTTGTAGTCAGTCTTCAAAGAAGGCCGGAGACTAACGTTAGCGGGGCGGAGCTCTGAACTCGAGCACTAGCGCACCCGCACGCACGCACGCACGCGCACACGCACGCACACACACACACACACACACACACACACACACCAGCACTCAAAGAAACTTCAGCCATCTCTAGTCAGCTATGGAAAATCATCAGACCCAAAGTCTGTTACATTTCAAAAGACCTGCGCCCTACAGTTTCACTGATACTGGTGTATTCACTCTCCACTGCTGGAGACATAGCGTTAGTTAAAGCACAGTGGGGAGCTCCTCTTGCCTAGTATTTTAATAATGAAAAATTGCTTCTTCAGAAAGGTAAAAAGTAGGTAAGGGAAACAAGAGAAACCGCAAAAAAATGTCAATAGCTTGAAGGAAGACCTGAGTTTCAGGCTGACCATGTCTGCTAAAGTGAGCTTCCCCCCTCTCTTATGCCTTCAAGAATGGCCGCCATCACATCCTGATTGGCCAAGAAGGGAATCACCAAGCTGCTCTCAATCAGTTGAGGAGTCAGTCCCTGCACCCTGAGCAACAGGTGGTTTGAATGATCCTGCACAGACAGATTAACCTTCAGGAGCCTTTCATCAAAATGCTTCCTTTGTATTAAACTTTATTACTATTGCTGCATCTGTAGTTCATTGCCTACTGATGGTATGCCAACATTTGCCTATTGAGACTCCATCCAGAATCACAGAGGTGACAATGCTTACTGCTGACAGGGTTTATCCTGAAGATGTAGTAGTACCTCTGTCTGTGAATAATCTCCTGGGCCTCTGCCTTCTTTCCTCCTGTCTCTGCTGCATCCAGTGTGTGGTAAGTCTGCTGCACAGTGAGGAGCTCTCTCTGACCTACTTACATACATACAGTGCACACGAAGGTCAAAGGCTGCAGAAGAACATCCTCTGGCTGTAGTTCTCCTTCTCTTTGGTGTAAACAGATGCAATGAGAAGGCGAACTTCCTTTAGGACATGACAAAGTCAGTAAGAATGTGTTAAATAATGCTTTGTAGTAGTAGTAGTGGTGTGCTCTGCATGCCACTATTATTCATCACTACACAATTCATTTACAACAGAAAAATTCATTAAATAATTTTTGGGTGATTATTTTGATTATTTCAATAATTGACGATTGAAAAGCAAGAACAATCATAGATAGGCACCAATGAACATTTTAACACAGTGCATATACTGTATATATCTATACATATACAATATCTAAACATCAATCATAATCTTTAATTTAAGATCCAAATGTAAGTGAGTAAGTTGAACTTTGGGAGCAACTGAGACCGACATCTGTTGGCTGCCCAGAGGGTTGAAAAGCCAAATTGTCCCTTGGTGAAAAGACAAACAAGCTGCTGAGACAGACAGTCACCAGCAGATATAATCAGAATAAAGAAAACACGACAAGCGGGCATCAAGCTACTTGCTCTGAATGTCATCAGCTGAAGAACAAGCTGACCCAGCATCAGCAAGGCAGACATGAGCAGAGACAATCATTTCTTAGAGTACAGTTCTCTGCATTTATGAGCAGCGCTGGAGAACTACAATCACTGTGCATAGAAGAAGCTCTATAATCTCATCATCAATGTCTGATTGGGAACATGAGGATTCATTTCAAATCTGTTGTGTGAGTCCAAATGTTGCTAAGGAGAGGCCGTCTGAGACTGGGGTGCAAGTAGGCAGATCAGATCCTTTTTTCCCATATTAATGCTAAGCTAAGATACCCGGCTGCTGGCTGTAGCTATATATATCTTATCATCATATATCTTGCAGATTTAACTGACTTATTCACAAGAAAGTGGAAAAACAGTATTTCCCCAAAATGTCAATATTTTCCTTTATTTCTACAGTGAACGCTACACTAGTGTTTTAGTGTGTAACAATCAGAGAGAGAAGCCAGCTGAAGCAGAACAAAATCTCTGATCTGTGTTTTAGTAAACTTACACATGCAAATCTATTGAGGAATAAAGCATCAAAACAGTGACTTCCACTGTCTGTTCTAATTTTAGGTCTGACTGAATTGCAATAAGTAGGTCAGCATTCAAAGCCTTGGGTCACACAGTTCTTACAGTAAGTATGTTTTTTTCTTAAGGGGTGTATTTACCATTTAGGAAATTACAAAATTAACATTTAGTGCAAAACAGCAACAAATATACGGATTAAGCTTGCACTGCAATGTCTGATAAAGGCATTCTCAATTAATATTGGCAAAAACAAGATTACATTTAATTTGAATAAACTACAGAGAGGTCTGACATCGTTTGAGACAGCATGTTTAAAGACCCCCTGCACTCAAAAATCAAAGATTTGATGTTTGAGCATCACTGTGCACAATGAAGTATGTTTGACACTAGAAGGATGTTTTTCACAGTCAGTCGTGGTGAAGTATGACACTTCCACAAGTGTGATGTAGAAAGTTGAAGCCACTAGTACACAGACACTGAGAATGGACTTCACAGTGAAGTAGAGACATCTTGTGACCAGCAGGAACGATAGAAATGAACAAAATTAGCATATTCATAAATAAAAAATAATAAAATAAAAAAAACATATCAGACACATATTATTGTCCCAAGCAGGTGTTGTGTATATACAGTTTGTTTTAATACATGTCTGAAGGGGATCTTTAAACAATAGATGCAGCCTCAATTGTGGGGTCAACATTTAACGAGACAACAGAACTGTCAACAAAAGATTAAATCAGCTTTAATTGTCATGAAAGCTACAATTTAACAAGGCTTGACTAACAGATATAAGAAAACAAAGCAATAACTCAAAGCATACCTAACCATGAGGCATCGCTTTCCAGCTCAGTCCTCAGCATTGTATATCTGTTACAGCAGGGCTGCCGGTCCTGTCAAGTGTTTATCTGGCTGGAAATCATTCCTCACATTCAATTTGGTAAAGTCCGATACTAACCCGCATCAATGAAATATTGGTAATCATGGTGACTGATGTGGACAGCACACTCTGAACACTCAATATATTGAGTGTTATCTGTGAGGCAGAGATCCCAGAGGTACAACTTGTGAGCACAATGTTAGCAGTAACATTGCTATTTTAATAATACAAGACATGTATAGAGTGAGTCACTGTAAGCTCCCCTCTCCGAGAGCCTTGGCTGTAGCTTTATTTTATGGAGCCAGGCACAGTGCGTATTGTATCTTAACGTCTGCTGTGTACGGTAAAAACAATATAAAAAATATCAAGTATTAAATCAGTATTCTCATAAAGCTGGAATGGGTTGGAAAATGTAAGGCATGAATTAAGGATCATCTTTAATGAAATGTTTAACCCCCTCATACTCCAGTAGCTTTAGTTGGCTGACACGTATGGCTTTAATCATCTTGAACTGAAATATAGGCGAGGTGATATTGAGGACATGCAGTACATTATGTAACAATTAAGTTAGGGAGGCCATAAAGAACGCAGTTGAAGGCTGATGGTGTTGGAGTTGTTTTGTGGTGAACATCATGTTCCTTTGAGTCAGTGAGGAGAACTTGATCTGCAGATGAAAACCAGAGAAAGCAATAATTATATCTGAGGGTTATATTGAAATCCAGCTTAGTTGGATTCATAATTTGAATTATCCTGCTTTATTATTTTTTCTGTCTTTGGAAAGAAACCCAAGCCTTGTGTATAGAGAAAGAGAGATGTGTGGGTGTCTGTGATGCACCCATGAAAAAAAACACATGGACTTGGATGTATTTACAGTAAATGAAAATGCAAATGTGAGGCTAAATGAGGTAGCTTGTAGGATATACAGTACCATATGATTCTGTATCCTTGTGATGTGGTATCTCTGAACTGTCCCCTCTCCTCAGGGCATGGATGGTCTGACCGGAGGTCTGTCTGACCCTCAGTAGATCTGCAACACATGGTGACACACACATATTGTATGACTGCAACTGCTAATAATGGCCACAGCAACAAAGCAATTCTTTAAAGCGGCTAAATGACAATGTGTTAGGTTGACAGTAAAGAAATGAAAAGGCATTATTGTATGTCCAAAGCCTACCGTCTAGAACCCTGGCCATATTGTGTGTGTTCTGTTGAAGGCTGTTGTGCCACTGGTTGAGGACAATACAGCTGACACCACACAAACTCAGCAGCAGAGCAGTCTCAAGGGGTTTCTCCAGGGCAAACTGTCCTGCACTGGAGAGAGGAGAAATAGTGAGATTGTGAGAGACAGAGGGAGGGGAAGCCCTGTTTCTATGAACTGTTACAACCAAAAAGCTGAAATACTGCCAAGTACAAAAAACATCAATTGGAACTATTGTAAGTAAACCAGGTAAAAGACATTATGAAGATAAAAAGGAAGACAGATGTAAATGGGAAGAAATGCAGTTAAAGCTTCATTGAGTAAAGATATTTTGTTACCTCTTGTGCATGTCAAAGTTTGATTGGCGGAGGACACTGGCATTGTTCTGGACCAGGTCAAACAGCAGAGCGACGCGACACTCTGAGGAGAACAAACACCATTATCATTATCTGGCAAGAGAATAAATAAAGCTCTCCCACAGAAAGACAACTATTCACTATCCGCTGTGTAAAAAGTGTATATAGTACATTTAACTCTTCACAAACAAAACACACACACACACACACACACAGTACTAGGTGCCTCAGTGGCCTGTCATATCATGTCTGGTCACGTTCTTTCTTAATGCAGAAACGCACTCTGCTTGCACCTGTGCCTCTTTGACTTTTTCATATACATTTCCAAATGAAGCATTAACCACAGGCTTGAGGATGTCCCTCATGTCCTGCCCAACACATCCTAATACCTAAATGCCAGAATTGGTTGTTTGTCAATGACCAAAGACAGGTGTGCCAGAACTGTTGTCATGGTAACAATAATAAACATGTGTGTTTGAGGGTATATATCGTATACTGTATATCCACCCCGATCCTCCTCCTGCTCCTCCCTTCATACTACCCTGCCTGACTCCCTCGCTTTGCTCGTGTGATAATCACTGCAGCCACCACAGGTCGCCAATAAACATAAATATGGGTCGCAATAAGCTGCTTGCACAGACGACCTACACAGCCGTATTTTTGTGGATTACGGTATGGTTCTGCCTGAACTGAAGAGTTGTTCTCGTGTGTCCTGAATGTTAAGTGATACAGGAGGCGGTAAAGGCCAGTGTGTGTACGGGAAGAATGAAAAAGAAAAGTAAAAGAAACAATATTGTTAAAAAGTTGTGATGAAAAAATATCAAAAGTGCTTTCCATAATGATAACGATTCTATTTTTGCATTAGCAACAGTATATAGTCCTGCAACACTTTCAGGCTAACTTTTCTTCCACAATGTATTTTTGTTGTATTCTTTCAAGATCATTTCCCAGGAGGTCTAGTTCTGAGAAAAAAGCTGTAGCTGGTAACAATTATTTATTTAAATGCTGGTTAAAATGACAAGGCGCTACTTTTATGTATTTACAGTATTAGATACCCATTTATCTTAAAATATGGACAAAAAACCCAATTATTATGTTACTGCCACTCAGGAAGACTAATGAAAGAAGCCATATCTGCATCAGCTGTGTTGTGTTTGAACTTTATAAATAAGTACATAATAAGTTGAGTTGAGTTGTGTATAATATATATATATATATATATATATATATATATATATATACGGTTAAATGATTGAATTTATCTTGAATAATAGTGGGAGCCTTTGGCCTTTTCTGCCACTTTATTTATTTATATTATTCATTTCAGGCAGATGAAAGAGGTGCTACATATATCATATATATCTATGCTACTCTATAGACAGATATATATGCTATGTAACTAATTTATTAACTAAAACATGACATTTAGCCTTCACCAGATCAGATGAAGCTCAGCGTACTTTACACAAGAACAAGAAATAAACTGATGAAAAACACTTTAGAATATTGCAACAGTCACTCATGCCACAAGGCCAAACAGGCAGAAACACTATTAGTTCAACACAATCCATCGATGTTCTATAACACAAAACAGGTATTTACTGTACAAGCACTTTAGCTAAACCTGTAGGTGTAGGGAAAAAAATGCTTCTTGTGTCTGAGACCAGGTGTGTGTCAGCGAGGTCATCTACCATCTTTCTCTATTGCAGCAAGGATAGGCAGTGCCTTGCAGCTATTTGGGCTGACTTCTGATACAGTGACAATCATGTCTGCGTCTGAAGCAAGACACTGCTGCCCTCCCCCTTCCCCTTGCTATGCAGCCGCCTGGGGCCAGGTCTACTCTGATGTGAGTCTCACTGTCACGGCAGGGTTACAGTTATTGAGCTTTGTCCCTCAAAGAGCCATGTTAGGATGTAATTTTATTACACTAAACAAGATAAAGATGCAGTGATAAATTAACACAGTTCCCAGATAAGATATAAGTGCAGATGGCGCAGCATGTACCGCATGACACCTTTTTTTTCTTCTGAGAAACACAAATCTGCCATCACCTAATCATTTCCCGATGGCCAATTAGGTAGAAACGATCTGGTGTGTTATGAAGTAACAGCTGGAATTGAGACCATGATGTCAGTCACACTATAGTTAGCAGCAGTAATGCCAGGCTAGCGGGTGGCACATATGTCTGGCCTGGGGCGATGCGCAAGGCCAACCTGACACTCTGTCAATCACACTGGATAAAGTCCACCCATCCTCAGACCACCTTTGTTTGCCAGTGAAAGAGGGGACAGAAGCCATGGAGATGAAGCCATATTTGTTTTGTGAAATATCTTTTAAGGGGTGAAGAGCTGAAAGGTTTGGGGTAGATTTTTATTTATTTAAAGAGTACCAAGGGAGGGAAAATGTGCCATAATCAGTGAATGGCACTCAGCGACAAGGATATGAATACAGTATTCCCCAGTAATCCTTATTAGATTTTCTTAGTTAAATTATATTTACAGGCACTGGGTGAAGTTGTGGAAATATTATAGCAGGGATCTGATAGTAAAACCTCATTGATTTCGCACTGCAGAACAGGGATAGTTCTATATATACCCACTCAGAATGAAAGATTGATGTGTTTGAAGAGATTAAGCGTACTGCTCCATTTACTGCTTACATAATGCGCAAACAGCTCTGCTCCAGATTTCAATCATTCATTCATTACAGTATTTTACCTCCTAATTTATTGAAAATGACTCAAGACACTGTGTGATTTAATAATATCTGGTACATTACTAGGACACCAAATGCTCAAGACATTTAGTGACAGACTTCTGCTCTATCATTCACATCATTTTGTGACATTTATATGACATGGTGATGGTTACAATTGGCTTTTTTTACTGAAAACCCTAACTGACATTTTATTTGCTTTCAGCTGCCAACAGACAGCAGACTGGATGATGGACACATTATGCGTTTGTTTCACATTAATGATAGTTGTCTGTGTTTCTGGTGTTATGTCTGGACAAATCGAAACAAAGCATGCAACAGACCTGTATATCCAGTTCTGCTCAGTCTTATAGATGGATGTTTTCAGAACACTGTGACTTTTTAATGCTGATTTCTAATATTTTAAAAGTGTATGGGTGTACAGTACCAGACAGATTAAGGGCTGCTAGTTTGGCAGGTGGAATGTTTGCCATGAAGCGCTCCATCCCCAGGTAAATGAACGCACTGCATCTGCACAGCAGCTGCTCCGTCTCTGACAGGCTGGATACATATTTGGGGAAGAGTTAGAGGTGTAGAAATGATCAGGCATTTTGCAATGTAACAAATACAGTTGGTTCTCAGCATGCTCAGTGTAAAGACCAAACATAGTGTGCTGCATTGCATTGCTCTACTTAAAGGTTCTAACCTGGGCATTTGTTTGCTTCCCATGAAGCCCTCCCACAGATGGGTAAAATTCTGGCTGTGGGTTTCCAAAGTCTCCTTCATCCTCGTGCTCAGACTGGTCCCCCCTGCACGACATAGACAACAACACAGAAATATTATGAAACTTGCTCAAGTTGTGACACTAACTGGGAGCTGGAATGTGACTCATACAAAGGTAGAGATTTTGTAAAACAGTATAATGTACAAGAGAGAAGGATGCTTTAAAGGGCTAAGAGCTGAGACATGCAGAGCCAGCCACTGCAATACAATCTAAAGACAACATTAATCAGTAAAGCACTCCCAGCACTCCTATACTCCACGACACACCACCCAAACAGAACTTAAAATAAAAACAGCTTTAGCTACACAGTACTGTAACTGATTATTAACAAGCAATTCTTTCTGCCATAGTGCAGTACCTTTCCACCCTTAGAGACCACTCTAATATATTAGTTTATTATGTAATGTATTAGGTCTCTCTCTATTTATATTTAATCGATTACATTTACTTACCAAAAACGCCTTCATTGTGAGGGTCAACAATATCTGTTGAGGTATGTTAAGAATAATTATCTATGAAAAAGACTGACATACATATATATGTTCACATTTATATATAAAGACAAACACCTTAACAAACTGAAGAAAGACAAAAAAAGATACATTTGAAGTTACGTGTGTCCACTGGGGATGTGTAAGAAGGCAGCACACGATTTGCAGGTATCTGGGTAAATAAATTAAAGTTATTACAACTTTAAACAGTACTTACAAATATAAAATGTGTATATATACACACTCACATACACATATTGTCTCTAGCCCATATACATTTGCAAGAGAGAATGTGAGAGGGGAGTTTAAGACAGAGGAGACAGAGCAAAATAAATGGAAGCAAAGAGGAAGGGGCTGGTGGAAAAAATAGAAGTGGTGCATGAAAGAAGATAAATGCTCAGACGCTCAAAATAGGATCTTTATGGAAACACATTATGTAATTGATTGAAAAACCACACTTAAAAGGGAGGCGAGAGGAACTTAAATTATTGCCAGTGCTGACAGCAGGTAAAAGTAATATTGCTGTCTGTATCTGGCAGGCCCAGATTAATTTACTGAACTCACCACTTTGATGGCTTGGCTTTGATCTCCCTTCCCCTTAGTTCCTTTGCCACCTTTGGTCTCCTTTTTGTTGTCACTTTCAACTGCCACAAACAGGAAGCAGAATTAATACATACACTTGTCTGCAGGGTAGATTACACAGCATTTGGACTGGGAAAAGAAACAAAAAGTCTCAGTATCTGCAACGTCAATGACATTTATTGGTGACTGAAACTGAAGAACTGTTCTAAATAAGTTACCTCATGGCTGCAGCATCTTATCCTCTGCAACTGGAAGCACTGACTATTGATTAAGCATTGATGATCAATTTAATTACCAGATTAATTGGATTCAAACCCCCATTGGATTTGGTTGACCCCTAATTGCAGGGACTCTAAGGTAGTAATCAAACTTTTTTTTGGATTAGAAGCTATACCAGCAGCAGTGCATTCGTCCATTTGTTGGCCCATCAGTCCAACACTCACCACAAACTTTTCAACAACAGACCCCAGCATGAACTTGTGTATCATTTCATTTAATGAAGAAAAACCCTAAGCACTTGTACACGTACACCAAATACTTTTTTATTGTTTATTTATGATGCCATCCAGCTCTTGTTTCCATTGAGTTAGAAAGCACTCATTATAACTGCCTTTAGATAAAAGTGTCTGCCAAAGGAATGTAACGCAATAGAACTAATACATGGTTTGAAATTCAATAGACATTTAAGGTTCCTGAGGATGAATGAAAATGAATTCTGATCATCTGAGATGTTACAGACCAGCAGTAGCAGATCTAAACTTCCACTAGTCTGACACTTCATGAAAAGTTACTTCAGTAAGATCAATCAAAATCAGGAACAGTGTTTGATCTGTTTTGAATGGTCCAGGTAGCTTGCTACTAGTATCAATCTCTAACAACACAAGGGCAAACTTAACACTAAAAAAGTAAAAAACATCGACTTAAAGTTGCTGTAAGCTATATTTTTTGTTAAAATAATTTTTAAATAGCTCTACATTCCGACAGCCTTCACTGATATAGTGTTCAGTCAGTGACATGGGTGCCACAGTTCCTCCTTTTTGCAGCAAACAGAATATTTTCTCTGGTATCCTGTTCCCACTTTATCCAATCAGGAGGGAGAACTCCAAAAGGAGGCAGGCAGCAAAGGTCACAGCCCAATGTATACTCGGAGTGTCATCAAGATTAGGATTTTTAAAAACACAAAGTCTGAAATTAAGTTAATGACTCAAGATGATAAAACGTTTTTTCTCACTATTAATATTAAATATAACTAATAAAATATTTGCTAATATGTAAAACTCTGCATCACTCTACTTCTTAAAAGGAAAGGTCTGCAAATGTTAAATCTTCCATTGAGCCTGTGCAGTTTGAATCACAGTTTATGTCTTATCACTCAGCAACTCTCTGAGACACACACAAGTCAAGGCAGTAAGAACAGACATTCATACAGAGGCAAACATTTCCCACCTGAAGGCAGTCTTTTTATAGTTTGTGCTAATTTGTCCTGTGCATACTTCATGCAAAGTACTGCACAGAATAACAAATAGCCCTTTCAAAAGTGGTTTCAGGCACTATATCTTCTTGACACAATGGTAAACTGTAGTTGTCAAAATTATGGTAATGATGGTCCAGCAAAAAAACACCCAACATATTTTTTCCAGTTTCATCATCACCCATGTATTTGATCCAGGCACTGAAAGATGTATTAGGAAATACATGTTCTTGTAGTTCCTGTCTGTGGCATATGCAAGTGTCACATATACGCTAGTTTAACGGTAACCTTTGAACATTCATTCAAGTTATGCAAATGATTCAACCTTTAAAAAAGTTAAAGGTGTCTGCAGCATCCGATTCGGTGCCCTATCTACCCCTTTTTTCCTTTATTTTCAAAATATTAATGTGCAGAATCCCCCTAAGAAATGAAGCATCATTGCCAAAAAATAACTGGATTTATTTCTTGGTATTTAGCTGTCATAGTAGGCCTCCAAAATGAAATACAAAGAGACGGGACAAGGACATTATGTGGTAGATGATATCACTTAATATAACTTTTCTTTTTACCCAACACCTAATACTTCAGAAGCTGTTTCTTTTAAACTGATTTTTAATCCGATACTGTTCATCAAAAAGTTCCTTGTTTGTTTCCAGCGCCAACAAAACACTGTTCACCATAGTTTATAGTTTACAGGAACAATTATTGCATTAGACAGTAACAAAGGGAGACTAAATGGGCAGAAAATTAGATAAGCTGAGTAGTGATACTGGCTTGACTCATGTGGTGAAGAACAGCTTTCCAACTGTCATGACCAATTTATGCGTGATCAAAAATAGATATTTTATTTGAGAGTTTTAGAGTTTTAGAGTTTTTTTGTTTTGTTTTGTTTTTCTTTAAAGTTGTGAAATGTTTTGGGCAGCATTTAGGATGAAATTACACCAAAGAGAATTTCAGCAGGGCCAACAGTGTTAGTCTACAGCATCTCAAAAAGCAGGGAGTGTAATGTTACCCACACTTTGTTCTTTATGCCCGCAGCTTTAACAACTATGGTCATTTCTGAATGTGCTCAGCCAACAGTTACCCTCAGCCACCACCTACATATACTGTATTACTCCTGGACAATCACATCTACAGTCCTGACTCTAAATTGCTCTAGCAGGCACAGCGAAATGGCCACTGTTAATGGACATCCACTTTAGCGAAGCAGGCCGTGGTCTTCACGGATGTCCGCATGAACTTCTGCATGCCAGCAGGATGTGAAATGACCTTTCTATCTTGAACAAATTCCATTTCTATGGATGGCTGCATGCAGTCTATTGTGTAAGTCATTACTTACTAAAATATGATAAGGAATTATATGAGACAAACATCCACTTATACCGTATAAAATCTAATTATTTACGGTTTTATAGATCAGACAGTTATACTGCATAGTCTTATTTCTCCCATCAAGCAACCTGTTGTTTCCTACAGTATCTATGACTTTGGGGTGAGACACATTAAAAACTTTAAATTTAGTCCTGGCCCATTCAAAGGACTTCTTCCACAATAAGTCATATCTTGTTGTTTCTTTTTTCTGTTTTTTACTTTACCTGTCACTGTCTACATCACATTATATTCCAATAGCAATAACAAGCAGAAACCAACTTTTGAAGGACTTGTGAGAATTGTATTTATTGCTACTTAATATTACTTAATGATTCCAACAAAATATAAATGAGCAAGTTAGTGATTACACTATAATAAAGCAAAGGTCTTAGATTAGACAAATAGTTTCTTAGAAATTAACGAGGGAAATGAGTGATTCACAGGACTTGATGAATCATTCTTTGGGCAAAAAAGTATTAGTGCTGTAACAATTCAAAGAAGATTCCTGTTTAATTAGAGCAGTCATAACAGAACTGAATGAATTCTCCTGATGGTCTTCAGACCTAGTCTGAATTGATGTGTCTGCCAGCCAGTCAAGTCATTTGCACTTCCATATTCTAACAGGTTTCCAATAATAGCGCCGTTACATAAAATACTGCATCAGTCGTGCCTTTTGTTTACAGTGATAACTAGATTTCACAGAATGCAATTTAACAGACAATGTCAATGATTTTCCTCAAGCTCTCAGCTAACAAATGCCTAATTTACAACTTTACAGTGACTGGCATTTCCTGTAGTTAGCTGACATTCTGTGTTCCTGAGCACAAATATATGAAATGGTTCACTGGATTGCATAAAACCCAACAGCAGAAATATAAAATTACATGAATAAGCCGGCATACTTAGAATCTACTGGATCACCTGCTCTATGGTATGTTGTTCTCAAAGTTGCATGTTCCTGGGAATGGATAGGAATCCCATGGCAGGGCTTGCAAACATTTCTCAAAATGTGTCTGCATGTGCGTGTCTGGTACCTTTCTCTGGTTCTTCTCTGTTCAGGCGACTGTGGAGAAGCTGGAGGGAGAAGTCTCGTGACACAGAACTCAGGCCTTCCTCCTGCAGGATGGACAAGGCCTCTAGCGGCAGCTCCAGCAACTTCTTGTCTGCCAGTAACACCACATACTCCCCTGCTTCTGCTGGTAATTGGTAACACACACACAACATCATTATTTTTTACCTTTAAAACTTTACGATGTTAATGTAAAACCACCTTTGCAAATGTACGTACTACATATTTTCAGTGTGATTGTTCCAACAATTTGGACAGTTAATTCTTTTGAAAACTGTTTATTGGCATTATAATCCTCACTGCTCCCCACTGTAATAGCTGTCGTGTTGTGTGTGTGTGTGTAATTCAAAGTGTATTACATTATATCACATATACAGCAAGAACAGTGGCTTGAGGGGTAATAGAAACCTGCTGATGGGATGCCAATAAACAGATAGGAATCATAGCCGATGTTGCAATAGTGGTTCATATGATACACTGCAAAGATAACCACAAGGGCCTTAGGGTGTCAGAGATCACAGCTTACACACAACATGCTCTACTGTAAACTCCCTTTACCTTCTTTATCTTTGGTTTTGGTCATTTCAGGGACTGGTAGTGATGCAGCCTGGGGCCTGTGGGAGGTAAGGACAGGCGAGGTTAAAACCAGATAATGTAATGTGACAAAGTGTAAGAAATGTAGACACGCAGCACTTGCAGCAACCAAGAGTAGCAGACAACCCAGTCTCACTTTGTTTTGAACACACACTTGAAAAGACTTTTCTCACATCATATCGTATCAATTAAATCTTAAATACAATCTGAGATCCAGTCTGTAATGGTGGAATGTGATGACATATACAGCAATTCACCTTAAGCAAGACAAGTCAAACTGTGTGAGAAGTGGATTCAAATAGTCTTCCATATCTTGTACAAGTTCTCTGAAGCGAGGTGCTAACATTTCCTCTGGAGCAGTTTTCTGTATAGGGGAAGAAGAAAAAAGAGGAGGGAGTTTCAGTAGCTGTAATGCAGTATTTATTGCATCAGGCCACTGATTACTTTCACACACACATCTTATTGCTTCAAAACAATGTTTGGATGTAAAAGTCAGCTGTCCCAAGTCACCCCAGCAGGCGAGGAGAGACATGAAATGATAATAATTGCAGTGGAGTGAGCTTTTTTACGCAGCTTGCCGTAGATAGTGTTAATAGAGTGAAAGTGCAGAGGTCTCAACAATAAGTACAAGGGGAAAAACCTGATGCTCCGTGGAGGCCTCCAGCCTTGCCTCAGCTACGTGCCAACAGGCTTCCTTGAGGAGGGCATGTCTAGTCTCCTGGCCAAAAGCCTGAGTCTGCTCCCTCAGTGCCAGCAGAGCCTGTGGGTAGACTGAAACCTTGGTCACCCTAGAGCACGTCAGGCTACCTGCAACAACAGAATTGACACACAATCAGACAGGCATACTCACAGAGACATACAGGCCTTGTAATTGGTCCCTAAGAGCACCTCCACCCCCTCCTCCCCCTGCTCTGTTAGAAAGATCCCCCTATCTCTTCTTTGTCTTGTTTTTTCCTCACTGTCTTTTCAGATTCATGATTTGTCTTCACTGTCAGGCGATGGATTTAGAGTCCTTTTTCCACAACACCTTCTTATGTCAGACACAAAAGGTCATGTGAGCAGGTAGTACAGTATGCTAATACCCTGTGATGACTTATGAAAGCTGGTGTTTCATACCAGGCCAGTAGCACAGAGGTCAAAGGGAAATTCTGGTGATTTGTTCTGCACTTTTCTTCTCTCTTTGCCTTCATTAAAGCTGAACTTTTCATCTGCTTTGCATGGGAATAGCAAATGAATTAGGCTCCATTTAAATGCTGACAACAATGCTATGTGCAGCACAGTATGTGTGATGAAGACCATTTCACCCAAGGCTATTGAACAAATTATATGCAACCTAAAAATATACATAAATGCTCATGTTCAGTTTAAATGGCACACATCTTTTATTCGAGTAGGAGGTAGGCCAGCACTTTGTATTGTGACAATTGGTTAAAAAAGGCACCTAACCTGTAACTTGCGTAGACTTTCCCTTTTGATTTGGAGCTTTGGTCATCTCATAGAAGGCCCCGTAAAGTTCTGACCTAAAAAGAAAACAAAAAAACTCACAAAAATACTTTTTACCCTTTACCTGTATACTGTATGCTTTGCTTCACAATTTTATTTAAAATTCCAAGTAACATGGATGCATTACATCTCTAGCAGATGATTTCAACCATCAGCCCTCTAGTGGCAGGTGTACCACACAGCAGGCCCCTTCTGCTCCTGATGTGACTGTAGCCCTAATTTAATGTGACTTACGTGACCTGCAGCCATTTACTTATGTACCATTATACTGTCAGAGGCAGATAAGGAAAGAATTTACAGAGTGGCTGTAGGGAAATAATGAGAGAAAACAGACAAGGACAAAATAGAAATTACCCGTCTTTAGAGTGCTGAAGCAGTAGGATCTTCAGGTTGGGCGGAAGCTCTGCAAGGATGTTTAGGTGGCTGGGATGGATGGTCAGGTGGCTGAAGGCCTTCAAACCAGAAAGTCATTTCAAGATCACACAGTAAACAGTACATTATACAAAGTTAAAGTGCCTTTGATTTTGAAAAAAAGTCTGAATAAAATAATTTTAGAAAGCATTAAAGGCAGGATGTTGGTCTTAAAAGTGCACAAGAAAGGTGCCACCAGAGTTACAGTGAAGAGGAACAGAAGAATATTTATTTGCACAACAATTTAAAATGATTCTGATCGTAGGTGTAGATTTAGGGACAGTAGGGATAATAAAGTAGTGGGACCGGTAAAGTGTATTCATTATATTACAATAGCATTATACTTTCAAATAATCAATCAATTGAACATTTTGTGTTAAATTTTAGGTGAATGGCGTTTGCTAATTACTGATCATTGCCCAGATATGACATTTTAACAAACTTTACTACTGAAAATGCCCTCTAAAAGTAACATGTAGGACTAGTATTTATTTATTTAAGACCACCCCCACCCCTCTCTCTTTTCACATGTGGATTAATAGTTCAGTTATTATTGTATGGGTCATTATGTTATGGACACACAGACAAGTGAGCCCTGTACTACCAGTGAAATGTTTGGCTGTAAGTTTTATGAGCTATAAACAAAGTTTTGAGATGGTTGTAATATTGTGTTTTTAATAGTTTCCTGAGACATAATTATTTCACCATTATAAAATCAGCAGTTGCACTCCCACGGTCAATTATTAGTTAACTTTTCATTTGTATTTTTATGAACACATTAACATGGTTCCAAAAGTCTCATCTACCTTGTAGGGAGCAGCTTTATTGTGACATTGTGATTTATTATGTCTACAAGGCTGCAGATCCCACCAAGCTGTCCCACATACAAGCTACTATACATGTTGGTTTGATTTAAAAACAAAAAAGAAGAGTGCAGCTGTGTGATTTTGGAGTCCTACTGTACATTCAGAGCAAAGGCCATAACAGCACCGTTATCCTGTCCCCCATCAAGGGAATTTACCGAGCAAAGTATGACAGCATCCATAAATCATGAGTGGAGGGGGGTGTGGTGACCGGTACCTTGGAGAGGCTATTGAGGGAGTCCTCCACTCCCTTTAGCATGCTGCTGGGCCTCTCCTCCTGAGAGAAGAGCAGTTTCCTGCGAAGGCTGAGCAGAGCAGAGAGTTGCGACTCACTAGTGCCAGCGCAGGCAGAACTTAGGACCTTGGTCATTGTAGCAACAGTGCAGCAGCTCTGGGAATACAAAAGAAGATGGATGAAGGAGCTGTTGGTAATGGTAGGGATTATAGTAGGTGATATCCTGAAGAATACCATTAATAAGTAAGTGAAGACTGTCTGGGTACAGATCTAAGGGTCTGTGTTGTACATAGACTGCTGATGTGGAAGTACAGTGTATATGGGCCCAACAGTGATGATGCGAGAAAAGGGAATTCTTGATTAGCATGTCATTTTTTTTCCATTACACAAGCACTGCATACTCAAGACCATACCTGCACACTCAGGCAGTGTAGTAACAAATGCACAATCTGATGCACAATACCTGAAACAGGGCAAGATATTGACCTGCCACTGCAGGGTCAGAGTGGCCATGACACTCCAACATGTTGAGAGAGGCATCAGCCAGGATAGAGGAAGGCAGCTTGTGTTGGAGGCACAGGCTGACGGCCTCAGCCAGCGACTTACTGGCCTGTGCCAACAGCTGCTGAGCTCTATGCCTCCTCTGCTGTTAAACAGACATCACAGACACACACACACACACACACACACACACACACACACACACACACAGGCAGATTAACATTCCTGTACACTATAAAAGACAGTGCAAGCAAGTCTGCATAATCAAACCTACACATGTACAGTGGACATAGAAGTGGGTTACGTTGTGCATATAAATTACATATATCTCTATAATACAAGTTGTTATTATTATAAGTCACCTTTAAAATGCTTGTATTATATTTTATCTCTCTACTCACATAATGTTATACTCACATTCCCATATGCACATTGGAGGAGTCATTAGTTTTAGTTTAAAATTCTCAATTTCTGTTTCCATGGACAGTGTTTCTTTTGTGAGCCAGGGGTGAGGGATGTTAATGCAATGAGGGAATTTGGGAGTAAAAAGACTAACTTTGGATGGTATCCACTTTATTTGTCTTATTACTGCTGAAGCCTCAGATCAGCTTCAATTGAACTTTAGAACGCACTTTTTCACAGAGTGAGGGTTTTGTTTCCCATCTCTTCCACTGGAATTACGTTACAAAGCGTTCTCTTCGCATCCAGTATGGGCAGGAGGAACAATTATGAATATTTCATTAAGACAGACTTGAAACATCTTAATCAATCCTTTAGGTCAAATTCCATAAATATTAATTTTCTGTAATCATTAAATATAGGAATCTTTACATTGCTGTTTTTTTTCTATTACATCTACTGTCAATGTACGCACCATATTGGGAGCACACACAATTATAGCTTTCCTATAGCTTCACTATCAGGCTGTTAAATCAACATCTAGCCTGAACTTTTTCCTATGTATACAATGGAAGTCAAAGTCAGAGTGATTTTTCTACCATAGCTTAACCACCTTGCAACCACCACTCGCCCAGACGTGTAGGGAAAACTATGGTGGCCAACTGTAAGCAAGACATTTAATATAATAATAGTATATATAATAGTTACATTTATAGTTTAGGTTTCTACATAAGGCTAAGAAGTTCTATGCTATTTAAAAGACACCATTACAGTACTTTTAAGTGTAATAGTACTTTTAAAAGCATAATAAATTCACCTATTAAAAGCTGTCGGTGAAGGCATTTGCCTCATTTAGATATGATTTCAAACGGTTTCTGGATATTAGATATAATACATTTTATGTAGTTATATAGTAGTTACAGGCACCCCAGTCAGAACTCCCTCAACCATACAACATAATCAGTTCAATCTTATTTTATATTCAAAAACGTTGCCACATAAATAATGCATTGCCCCAATTCTATTCTGCACCAAGTTTGATGTGGACAGTAGGTCTCTCTGTGCTCACTTTCAATATGAGAACTATGCAGAGTGCCCAGAGATTTACCTCCGGGGGATATGAGATGTGATGTGAACCTCAGTATAAAGACCATAGATTAGAGATGAGTCAGAAGTGATGGGGTCACTTGTCAGGAGGTATGTACCTGCAGCTCAGCACTTTTGGCAGAGGTCACCCTCGGCTCTCTTCTGCTTGATCCTCTGTCTTTCTCTTTCTCTGAATCCTCCTTTTCCACAGAAACAGCTCCAGGGTCAGACCAGGCCCCCTTCTGCACAAAGTTAGTTCAAAATCACAGAACAATGATCGTGATTAGTATGAAATCCCCTTGTGATCACAAACCATAAAAACCTACACTTTTCTGCCTTAAGTTATGTAATCGGACAGCCATCTCTCTAATCCCTATGAACTTTTAACCCTATCTCATATTTTTCCAGGTTATTAGCCCATTGGTGTGTATATGTGCCTCTGCATCCGGATTCCCCGAAAGAAAAAATCAAATCCCTCAAGATTCATATGACTTACAGTATATGACATCATTAGGTAAAAGTGTGTTCAAAGCTTAACTGATTTCGTTTGGTATGCTGTTTTTGAGGCATAGTGGCACTTTCAAGCTTTCAGTTTTCCTTTAAAACCACCATCAGGGGCAGGTAGAGAAGTCAGGAAACAACAATAACTAACATGTCTGCCAGCTGATTACTCAGTTGCAACAATTATATAATAATGATGAATGTCTTGTGAGCAACTAAGGTTCCTTAGAAGCTTTTAAACCATTGTTCAACGAGGGTTAATATCTGGGTACCCCACCAATTCAGAATTACACTTTCATAATAAAGTTGGGGAGGTCAAAAGAAACTGTTTCCAATAGTCTGGTTTGCATTTCTAATCTATTTATTCACAGGGTTGGAACTCTTAATGATGTACATGACATGTAAGTACTTTTCAAGTACTTTTCAAGGACAAATTATTTTAAAACTAAGGGCCAATAATTCATGTAGGTATTCACATATACAATTTTAACCCGGTAAAGTACTAGATAAAGACCTTAATGGTTTACCTTAGTTACATGGCAGTAGAAATTTAAGGCCAGGTACAACCCGGGAATAAGGAGAATCGGGATGAAACTTCTACTTTGCAGATGGGAAGAAAGTGTATGAAGCTTGGTCCAGCACTCCAGAAGTATAAAAATGATATCATAAGTGAACTCTGAGATGGCGGAGGGCACAAGGCTCAAACTCAGAGATTCGGGTAGGCTAAATCCAAGCACTTTTAAGGACCTCTTTATTTCTCACTTAGTCCAAGCATCTTCATGTTCTGAGTTATAATTTATCTAAACCAAGCACTAAGCAAGAACTCAATACTTTCCAGACAGGTGGCAACCATGCATTCAGTTTCCTGATTTTCCTCTGTAATTCTCTAAATAATGTATCAAATTCCACAGTTTCCAGTTTTGTAGCAGACATATGAGCATTATGTGTAAATGTTCATATGACCACATTAGTTGTCTACCTGTTTGTGTCTGTTCCAGAGAGAACATAGATAAACAGGGTCCTCCTGCACAGCCAGCAGTCTGAGGTACTTTCCTATCAGACTCAGGCAGCCAGCTCTGGTCTCCATACTGTCCAGGGAGTGAGAACGTAGTGCAGCCAGCTGGCCCAGAGCCACCTGCCCCAGGGTGCTGCCCTGACTCAACCATTCCTGGACAACACACAAAGAAGTTAAGGTCAAATGGGAAGATGAATCACAAGCAATGCACTTACTTGTACTACCATCTGACAAACAGAATACACATATTTTTTTCTTTTTCACAAGGAAAAACTTATATAACAGCTGTTCAAGAGGGCAAAGAGAAGTGGTGTCTGTGGAGAAAACATGAAGTAAGGACTCTAGTCTATTCATCACAACAAATACTGATCCTCAGTGCTATGATGACAAAGAGGAAGAGAGAGAGAGAGAGAGAGAGAGAAAGTAAGTAAGAATGACAAGAAATGGGAATATACATGGAAAATATATAACATGTAATACAATTATATCAGCTGATTATATTGTTCATGAAGATCATATAAGAGCTTGTGGATGACTACACTTGTTGTGCTTGCAGCTTAAAGCCCTTCTCAGCCTCCTAATCTAAACGATTAATATTAAATTAGTAATTTACAATTTAGAGTTCTGGGTGATGCAATCACTAACATCTTATGTGTTGACTGGAAATAAGCCCATTCACAATGAAGGAAATTCTTATGTACAGTAGGATAACTGTCATGTGACTGGAGTTTTAGGGTAGTCTCACTCGTACGTTTCTGGAAATTAAATCTTTATTTCTGTTTCAAAATCGGGGAGATACATGTTGTATTACTGTAAATGCTGTGTAAGTTCTCTGTTTTCTTGAGCATTAACTAGGAGGAATGTCGAGTGACGGTATGCAAACCCATGAGCCTTGGCAACTTTTCAAACATCTTATGCACAACTGTTTCCTAAACCCAGCACTCTAGTAAGAAATCCTACATAAATATAAACTAAATGAAGAAAAACACTCTCTGAAAAGGTTAAATCCTGGGCAGTGGTGTCCCAAATACAGCGGGAAGTCAACTGCTGCATTTTTTTTGCAGTGATAATAATACACAACTACCTGTCCTGGACAGAGAACAGAGGAACAGAGAAGCTTGCTATAAATTGTTGGTTAGTCACAAGAGATTTGCTATGAAGAAGAGTAAATTGCCTGGTGTTACTTTGCATGTTAGCATCCCCAAGTGGCACTGATGCGCAACTAACCTACACAGTCCTCTGACCTATATAGTAATGTACCAACAGACTGTGTCAGCATGGATCGTTCAGTTCTTGATGTTTAGAGTAATATTTTCTATTTTTTAAGTGTACATTTGACACTTGCTGTGCCCTAAGGACATTTTTCTGCCAGGACTCGAAACTTTAAATAATTTAGACACTGAGTTACATAGGATGTAAAGTCTCTATCTGTCCTACCCATGCTTTGTCGCTTTGATGGATATTTTGGGTGTATATTTAGACTTTTTATATTTATCCAGTACTACAGCTATAAAAGTTCATCCTGACCTAAACTGATCCTGTTGAGTGTAATGAAGAAAATTGTTACCTAAAGAAATCCCCTTAAAGGTTTTCTCTAAGTGTGCCATGTAAGTCTCTCAATATTTCATATTTGATCCAGGTCTGTGTGCTTGTGCACTGTCTAACCTGCTCTATAGAGTTGGGCTCAGGTGTGCAGCGTGTATACTCCTCCAGTGCTATCTCAGCAGAGGTCATTCTTTCACGGGCCATAGCTTGACGTGTCTTCTCAGCACATTGTTCCTCCAGTATGGCCAAACAAAACTCGATCAGGGCCAGGCGCAGGCGCAGCAGCCTCCGCATGGCCACCAGTGACAGTTCATGACTCTGAAAAGGACGAAAGGACCAGCAAGTATGAGAAAATACACTCAAAATTATAAGCATAAACATGCAGTAGATTACAAAGGAAGCCGTAGCGCAAAACCCAAGGAATGCAAGTTTCAATGATAAATTATTTGCTTTCCTATTTAAATGAGCTGCCACCCAGAAATCCGAAACACCTTCTCTTTATAATAATAAAAAGTCTGACTACTATTTAAATGGTAATTGGAAAAGATTATTCTCAATTGGTTAAGGTGCAAGAGTGAGCTGTGATGATGAGTTCACAGACGAGATGTGTGACCAGATATTGTGAGACATGGCAAATGAGAAACCTGGCCCATTGGTCTTCATTGAACAATGAAGACTGAAAACCACTAATTTAAATGAGAAAAACTGAATATGGAACAAAAGCTGGCCCAGCTCATAAAGAGAATAAATGAGCATGGTTACAGCTGTTGTCCCTAGTTTCCAATGCAGGTTGAATGTCAAAACTTACTAGTGCAGCAGCACCATCTGCTGAAAGAGCACAGCCACAATCCAACGTCCAAAGGCAGAGTGAAACATCCACACAAGATTTTATCAAAAACTCAATAGAAGAAGAATTTGCAGCAGGTGTGAGAGTTGTTCAATCAATCTTTCTTTCATGATTCCATCAACATGTAAATTAAGGCTGCAGCCAGTGTTATGCCAGTCCATCTTTGGCATTAAAGCCCTCAGATAACCTCATCTGTATGAGAGCTTGTATAGTGTCTGGATAAAATAAGACTCCAACACCCATCTGCTGTTGACAAGTGAAAGTAATGAAGGCTTTTTTGTCTGTGTCAGAACATTGTCAGACTGTAGCCTGAGCTATAAACAGCAATACACACATACACACACATATTTAGCTAAGATGTCACACAGTCCAGAGCCCCGGAATATGACAGTGGCACAACAGGGCCTTAATAACCTCATGCAGAAGCTTAATTGTGATTCAGTCAATTAGACTGTTTAGGAAATGAACACGCAGATAGCACAAACAAAGCCCCTCTCTCCGTCATTCAGCCACAAACAGGGCTTTTCACAGGAGAACCCTTTCATCTCTTAGCACTGAAAAACATGCTCATACTTTTCTAAATAGGATCAAACATTTTGCCGTCTGCACTTGTCCTTAATGGACCAGCAATTTTAGCCAGAGCCCAGCTTCTGAGTCAGTTTAGCAGTCAAGCAAATGTTGTTCAAAGCAATGTCTACAACATTTACAGTTACTTAGAAAGTCATTTCTGATGTTCATTTTCAGCCACGTTCTCTGCTGATCTGTGTCCTCAAAAGAAAGTTCAGTCGAGTGGCTGTGACTGGTTAAAAGTGTTTGAGAGGACAGCATCACAATGAAAGATGGATTTTTAAGGAACATGCATGCACTTGATTTACCTCCTCCTGTGAGGAGAGCAGCCTCTGTGCATTCAGCACCACATGTTCCTGCTCTGTAACAGCTAGCTGCATTTGGGAGAGGCCATCGAGCAGGAAGCGCTGTTTGTCCTCGGTGTAAGTCGTATGGTTGGCTAGGATTCTGTAGAGAGATATTATTAAGCGTAGACAAAGGCAGAGAAAACACACACATATGTATATTCATATATATAAAGAACTACGGTCTCTGATAAACTTTTTATCTTTTTGTTTGGTGATTTCTGACACCAGGACTTGAAACTCCAGTTTGAAGAGAGTGTAAACTATGCAAATGATCAAATCTCATTTACAGCTCCTCATGAACAGGTGGCATTCATCAGGCTGAAACAATTGATTTCTGAGTCCAACTTGGAACACTTATGTGCTGACATTCAAGAGTAATCTACATGCACCCAAATAGAGTAATAATATATATGCATATAGTTTATAGTATGGTTTAAAGAATACCCATTAGTAAATAATACTAACAATACAGAAACCCCTGACTGACTAACCTCAGACCATGTGCATTCTCAACATGTGCCTCTGCTGCATGTTCTCTGTAGCTGAGTTTAGTGAAACCACTGGCACACTCTCTGAGTGTATTGCAGGCGGCCATTAGTCTCTGGACAACCCCTGGGCTCAGTGTCTTTCCCGGTTCACCACCACCAAGGGCATGTATACATTCAATGGCACCTCTGGAACACAACATAATATATTCGATTAGCTGTTGAAGTCACCACCTATCTGAGCATGTCTGGCATAACATTTAAAACATGACATTTAGTGGATGTTTAAAATGCATAACAGTTACATGCTGAAAGTAGGTTTCACTTGTTAAAGCGGATGTTTTATCTAGTTGACTTTTGTTTTGTAAAGTCTATTTATGATACATTAAGACACATTGGAGGATATTTAGTAAGCCTGTCAAGACCACAAAATTAAGCAACACCGCATATTTTAATATAAGACTTAAACTGGGTCTTTCGTTCAAGGATTATATTGTAATTGTGTGGCACTGGACTTCCAACCATTTAAAAAGATCAAAGCATATTCATATCCTTACTGTTCAGTTACTTTGTTTCTAGGGTGAAATATAAAAATCAACATTTTCTGATGATTAATGTGTACATTACTTTTACCCAAACTGGATAGTGCATCTTAAAATGATAAACAACTTAATCACAGACAACACATCTCCACTCCTAACCAGGAAGAAAACACACATTTAGCAGATTTGATCACAGAAGTTTGTGGTTACCTCATCTCTAATGAAGTGATCAAGAATGTGAGTTCTGGGACTCGGTTTACTTGCTGCTCCATAAGTAGCTTCAGAGCCCCACAGCCTTGTTTTATAATCTGATCAGCCTGTGAAATAAGAAAAAAGCCACAATACAAAAAGTATTCTCCTACAAAATTAAGTTAACTGTACTGTAAGGGGGTTATTACAATGTAGTGATTCTATACCTTGTATGCATCTTTGTCTCCCTGGCCTACTACAGCTCTGACCTTGGTGAGGGTGAGCTGGTACCAGAACTCCCCCTCCCCACCCAGGGCTTGGGCTTTGTCCAGCAGGATCAGAGCCTGGGCATAGTTCTGCTCTTCACAACCCAGAATGGCCAGACTAAGCAAACTTCTTGCTATTGCTTTCTGGTCTCCGAGCTCCTGAACAGAGAGAATTTGGAAAAAGGAGAATTATAATGGAGTAGGAAATTAGCGGAGTCACTGCAGCAAATACTTCTAATATATCGTAGGCATAATTATCGGCCAATAGAAAGCACATCAGTGTAAACAATAAATTGAAGGTTAACATTTTCTGTCACACAACTGGAGCACATATTTGTCAGCATTGCATATGTCTACAGTGTTAAAGTTTGGTATGCCAAGATAGTAAAAATGTTCTTTTTGATCCTATTTTGCTGTCAGTCTGACACTGTGGTCTCACCATAGCCACCAATTGGGCCTCTGCCAGGAGCTGCCTGGCGGGTTGATAGAGCCCCATACTGAGGCAAACCTCAGCTTTGTCCAGCCAAATGTCCTGAGCACAGACATCCACAGTCTGTTGCCCTGACCCAGCCTTTGCATCCAGCTCACATTTCTGAGAAATCACAAAGATATAAGACAATTCACTATTTTCAACACTGACTTAAACTGTAAATGAATGATGGTTTTTATATGACACTGTGCATATATGGTGTATGTTCACAGTGTCATATGTCTTGCAGGAGAAAGCTTGTATGTAAGTGCAAACACACACACACACACACACACTCATAAATACCACCTTGAGAAATAATAGGTGCATCAGACAGAAACTGTTATAGTGTTAAAGATTATGGGATGAGCCCTGTAGAATTCACACCATTAACAGGCTAAGGTCCACCACATAGACGAGAAAAGCATAAAAAAAAAAAAAAAAAAACAATAAAAAAGTCATCTCACATAACTGACTTAAGAGTTAACACTCATTTCAGGTTTATGAGACTGTAATTTGACTGTCGTAAACCTCATATATTACTCTTCCATCAGTCAGTTACATTATAAAAGTACTAATTATAGCATAAAGTCAATCCTATATGGAGTAATAAAACTAAATTAAAAGTAATTAATTTTAATGGTAATATATTTAACTTGTAAACCCTTATGAATGTGGAGCATTTGATGCACAATATTAAACACAGATCTATCTATTTTGTGAGAAACAGGCTGACCTGATCGTAAGCTTTGTGAAGGCCTCTCCTTTCCTGAGAAAAAGCAATCGCTTTGCGGCACCTGCAATTAGGAACGTCGTATCATAGGTCATTAGAGCAAAATGTGCAAACGTTAAATCTTTATAGCTGAGTTGACATACCCCATCTGTTCTTGTTCTTGGATTCCACTCAGATTCAGGAGCTTCTCCTGATATGGGGAATGTGTCTCCAAACCCAGCTGACGACAGGTCCTCACAATTCTAATTCGGTAAAAAAACAGCAACAAGAAAAATACAAAAACCATAAAATTAAATTATTGAGTATTCATAGGATTTCTGACAGTAACTGATGGCACCACAAGTTGATGCTTCTGAGTTCTCCAGTTTTCTGTGCTTCCCTGGGTTTTGACTATTTAAATAAAGCAGCCATTTAAAAGCTGTCTTTAGTCTAATCATTTTCTTGCAGAGGCACACTATTTAAATGACTAGCCAGGAGCTGGTAGCCTCAATCAGAGACGAGGAACTGTAAAGATCTGTAAACATCGGTGGAGTTCCCCTTTAATTTATCCGCGTTTTTACCTCAGTCGGTAGAGGTCGGAGAGGCTCCTCCTATCCAAAAGGTCATGAGCAATGGTCTCAGCTAGATGAATTATGGGCAGGGTCAGGTGGTCGAGTGAGAGTGAGTGAAGCTCTTTTTCCAGCAGGTTCAGATAAAACAGGCTCTGAGTCTACACAAAACAAATAGAGAAAAATAAAGAAATAAAATCAGAATAGGAAATGGCCCATGATGCCGTCTGTTTGCACCATTTCCTAATGAATTAAATAAAATCTCATCACATACTTTCATCCAATCCTAGTGGTAGATCCATAAATTAGTTTTAACATATATTTAATTCAGAATACTGGGGTTTCAGAGTCTTCCAACATCTTAATTTAACCCACAAAGATCAATGAATGCACTTCCTCATGACCAACAAATGACAGCTTATACAGCAACACTGATACCAAGTCAGGGCTTCTGGCAGCTGAGCCCTTGATTTAAGTTGTACTTGTTTTCAAACGAGCAGGGATTGTATCCACTGGTTATATAGGTTCAGAGACAGTACCACAGATGGTAGCTGGTTATGGCACTGAGAGAAATGTGAGGGAGAGGTATGTAGTCTTGCCTGCTTTGTAATGCTGTGTGTACTGATACAGTGGGGGTTACTGTTGGTTCTGAAGATCTGCCTGGCCTGGTCAGGACAGACGTAGCGAGCCCAGTCCTTTGGGGTGGTAGGAATTGCCTGATCCAAGACAACAGGTTTAGGTCTCTCTTCTGCAGGGGGAGGCTGTTCAAACAGAGAGGACACAGAATCTATATTTTGTTCTTATTACTAGCGTGAAGTCAGCATTTAAAATTAAGTACAATCGACTGAAGTTCAGTAAAAAGCTGTCAAGAATATGTTTACTGCATCAGATAAAATGTGGCAATTTGAAATTTGTTAAACATATTATGACAGCATTTCAAAGCATTGTTTCTATTAAGCATACAGACAGGGAGGGTGAACAATAGATGAAAAAAGTAACTGCACTATTCAACAGTAAAGACCACTAGAAACTGTGTAAATCAATGAGATTCTACATTTTAACTATAGGACTTACATCTTTGACTTTTTTGCCTTTGCCCTTGTCTTTGCCTATTTTGGATCCAGCAGACGGAGGGGGCTGGGCTGGCTGACTCTTTGCCATCTCACTGGAAATCTCACAAGCCACTGCCATGGACACCTGGAGTGACAAACAACACACAGTGCACACAGATTTATGTCCCATACTCAACTCAAACATTATCACATTTCAGTGACAGGATAATGGTGTAGTAAAGATGCACTACCTGCCATATTTGAAGTACAAAGGTGTAAGCTCTGAGCAGGTTAAGCTGGTGCTCAGGAGAAGTCTTGCCTGCCATGACAGCAAGCAGAATGTGTGCCTGTACCAGGCTGTCAAGGCACCGCACCTCCTTCAGATTAGACAAACTTTGTGTAAAATCCAAGCCCTGGACTCCTACCAGGGGCTCACATTTCACTGAGCTCAAAACCCTCTTTTTGGACTCATCTTCTAGAAAAAGATATACATATAACATTTACTGTGACAAAGAATTTAACAGGAACAAGACAGATATATACAATATATGAAAGCAGAATTGACATTAATTTTCACTTGACAAATAAATCCAATAATATTCCTTTTCCTTCATATTCCTGTAATTAATTTCTACTTTTTCCTTCATTTGGGTATTCAGTTTACCTCTTAGGGAATATTTAATGTGGCTCACAGCGGGAGACTAAAAAGACTCCTCATAGCAGTCTTTTAAATAGTACTATGCTATTCTCAGTGGGCACCCACATAGGAGCTTAAGAAATATATGTCTTAGTCTGGTCAGCTCCTTTCCCTCTGAACATTTGTTTGGTTTAACGTTTACACAGGATAACAACTCAAATGAAAGTACAAACACTGAATTCCATTGCTGATCAAAAAGCTGTGGCACAGCGCTTTTCTGGATCAAACAGAGCAGATGTTATTCCCCTTAGATTAACACTGTGTACAACTTCAGGCATTCCTTAAAATAGAAGTACACAGGCACAAGTTTTCATGTGCAACCACACACACAAACTGAATCCATATGGCAAAGGACCCCTGAGATATCTGTGTTTCCTGCAGATATCCGTATCTCAAGGGGAATTCTCAAAATCTGTTAACTTCTCCTCTAGGTTTTGGAGTGCACACTCCAATAATTAACAGAATTAGCTAGTCATTCACACGATAATGATACAATGAACAAGGTAAGTCAATGAGTTCTACCTGCTCCGTCATCCTGTTCAGTCTCCACGTGTAGAAGGATGTCTACGGCCCATTGAACATGGTGTTGGGCATCAGTTTTGGGGAAGTTGTGACAGTACAGCCACTCTCCAAATTCTAGCAGGAGGCTGACCTTCTGCCACTGAGTCTCTATACTCTGTTCACAAACAAAAAAATCAATGACAAACAACTTTTTCCATTTTGCTTTTGTTTGGTAACATAGTTGTAATGACATGCTGGTTCCACATGATGGTGCTAAAGACTTTGCCAAAAACATTGGCTTTACTCACTGCAAAAAGACTACACAGGAGATTAAATAAAGAACTTGATGACTAGAATTTATCTAATATGACAGATTCCAACATGATCTATCAGCATGAATCTATTGAGTAAAAAGGTTGCTAGAACAGGTGTATTACCAACAGAGAGGTGATGGATTTCTGGTAGCAGGTGAGCTGTTGGGTTATACTGCCAGCACACAGTGCCACCCGGTGCCACATAAATGAACAGCACTGCTCTCCTTCATCTTGTAACTTCTGCATGTCCATCTGTACACTTTCCCCCAGTTGTGCTTTTACCAGTATTCGGTGTTTCAGCAGAGGTCTGGTAAAACACAAGGACAACAATAAGATTTATTTTTGTCTTTCTGTATATCTACCTTTCCAGTTCCTTTCATATCTTTCCCTCAGTCCCCAATGTGTTTTTTTTTTTTTTTTTTTACTCACAGTCTGTGTCTGGTGCGAGGCATGTCTCTAATAGCTCGGTCCAGGAGCTGCAGAGCACTGTTCCAGTCTGCTTTATCAATGTGGATGTGGACCAACAAAGCATAAATGTCTGCTCTCAGGGTTAGGACCTCTTCATCTACTAACAGAGACACATATGTAGATACACAGATGACTGAACTGTAATCCAATGTCAGCAAATGTGTAATTATAAGGTAATTGTTAATGTAGATCTAACAAATTCAGCTGACGACCATCAAAATGCAAATTTCACAGGCCCCAAAGCTTAGTTGTTTATCCTGGAATGAATGACATTTTCTGTGCCATCCATTATTTACAGTATAGAGGTACAGAGGAAATTAAACAGATTCATAACAGAAAGTAAAACCAAACATGAAGCCAAAAATTCAGAAAGAAAGTTCACAGTTGAACCATTTCAGGGTTCTTTTACCACTCACCTGTTGCTTCATGTTTAGAGTTCCCAAGAGGCATTTCTGTCAAGGTCAGCAAGCCTTTCACTTTGCCCTGTTTCTGGAATAAAAAGGGAAATGATTAATACTGTTTTTACTCACCCATGTAGCTTACAAGGGTGATAGGAGAGTGTTGCTGGTTGTGGTGGATGGTTGGTCATAGTTAAAGCTCACTGGTGTACAGTATAAGAATAATTGGTGTGTGACCTTGCCCTGTATATGATCCTCCCCCCTTATCCTTAAATCCAGAGCCTGTAACATAACTTCAGTTGTTCACACTTGGGCATCCCATTGATAAAAATTTCATTTCTGTTAAGACACAGCTGTATGGGACAGATTGTGCTTTTTTCCTTGTGAGTCGACAGCACTGCTGAAGAACAGTGTCAAGTTAGAAAGAACACCACAGATAGCCATCATTCTGAATTCTCACATAAGCTGCCCTTAATTATGGATTTAAAGTCCTCTTGAAGTTGAACGACTGTTTATCCCCCTGGCTGAATTGCTGTCCACAGGCAAGGCTGCGATGTTTTTTCAAATTTGAGCACACCCGCAAGGTATCCCCTGTAGCACCTTCAAGAGAATCTTTTATCAATTTTATCATCAATTAAAGATAACAGAGCAAGTTTAAGAACTTTAACCCCTATTTAAGTTTTATAGCAACCAAAGTAAAGTTGTCAAAAATCACGTATTTAATTGAAAAAATAGGAAATGACAAAAACAGGACTTGAAATGTCACTTCTGACTGTAATGCTAGGAGTTAAGTTGCACTACTAACAATGCTTAGTTGTTAACCGTCAGAGAAATGCCAAAATGTTGTTGTATGTCATCTTATATTTAAGCCAGGTGCTGAATAACAGATTCAGTGAAGAAAAAAAGATAATATCTGCACACTGAATTAAAGCTCTCAAAAAACTGAACTCATAAAATATCCCAACTATTTATATATATTCAAAAAATGTATATGCAGTTTGCAATTTCTATAACTTTTATGAAACTATTTGTATGTTTATCTGGAGGGGTCATTATTTCATTGTTTATTTGTATACAGGTTTATGGAACTGTATATCATATCATTATAAAAATACAGACTGTCAAACATCCAGTTTGTGATCTTCTGTATACTGTCTGTGTATGCAGAAAGGTATCACCACCTTGGATAGTACTGTATTTTTTTGCATTTATTCTAGTGGAACTTAGTGGAATGTTGTAGCGTGGGCCAAGGAAGAACCCAAACATTTTTGAGCAGATCCAAATGACGGGGGAAATTATTTTTCACTTTTTTAACATTGTGAAATAGGTCCATTCTGGAGTCTATGGCAAATAGTCGTAATGCGTAAAGTGAATTGTTTGTAGATTTGCACATATAGAAGAATATTGGCCTTGGCGGAGGTCTGCGCTCTCTGAGTGCCCTGCTCGTTCTGTGTGTGGCTGTATTTTTTTTTGTCTGATAACTTGGCTATGACCACAACAGGACTGTTGAGTGAATGTGTGAATATGGCTAAAGAGGTGTCCATACATTGGCATGTTTAGTGTTGGTATGAACCAGAGCAATCAGGATCTTCTCCAGGGGCCCTTGCAGCTGCCATCTTTCCTCAGGAGTCTGTGTTAGGGGTAGACAAGTGTTCCAGTAATGTCTGGCAGCTCTGACACACAATGCTGGATTCTCAGCCTTTTCTGCATAGCTATGGACAAGAGATGATAGCAAGCACATATAATGTAAGAAAATACAAATGTAGAGAAACCATATCAAGGGAATATCTTTAAAACTAGTTTGTAGCTGCCCAAGGCATTAGTCAATACAAAATCTCACAGTAAACAGCACCTGACACTGGACAGAAGCACCTTCATAGCCTCTTTGTAAGTGTGTAGATCCCCATTGGACTCATGGACTAAACTCAAACCCCTTAAACAAGCGGCACTGCTCAGCATCTCATTCACCGCAGTCAGGCCATAGCTAGGGATATGAGGAAATATATTAGCTGTCAATCAAAGTCAATCAATCAATCACACAAAATGTAAAACTGACATACCCTTGAAGAATCTGAAACTTTGAAACTTAATTCAAACTTTGTGGCTTCGTGCAGAAATTGAAAGAAATGCTTGCTCAATAAAATCGCTTGCAATACTCTTGAATATGCACAAGATGTCACCTGCCATTCAGAGAGCTTTGGAAGCAAAAATCTCAACCACACATCTACCTATAGTGCTTTTCATAACAAAGCACAAACATTCATATCAAGTGCAGCCCCCCCTGCCCATTTTTAAGAATTAGACATCAAATATAATCAGCCCACTCCACTTACAAAACAAAGGGGATGGTGTTGAGACTCTTTGCCGCTGCTTCTTCCAGCTGCAGAGCTCTCTTGGTACAGCACAACACCGAGCTGTGGTCCTTGGACTCATGGCAGAAAGCAGCCAGCTGGCAGCACACCTGCAACTCTACCACCACGTCAGTCCAGTTGCATTCAGACACCATGCTCACCAGCTTTAGGTGAGGAGAGAGAAGAGGGTAGGGGAGGAAAATGGAGGTGGTGAGGGAAAAAGGAGGAGAGGAGTTGGTGCAGAAAATGAGGAGATGAGGGAGTCAGAGAAACGATGAGGCGAAGGAGGTTGAGAAATAAGGGGAGGCAAGCAGCGAGGTAACGAAAACAAGGGTGGGAAAACGTAGAGGGGGGATTAAGTAATGCAAGCAGGGAATAGGAGAGAATTGGGTGGAGTGAGTGAAGGGGGGGAAGGCAAGGAGGGTGATGGAAGAGAAAGGAGAAGAAATAGAAGGGACATAAATGAAAATAGGATTGGTGAGGGGAAAGACGGTAGAGTAGCGAAAAGTAAAGGAAGCAAGCAAAGGAATGGGGTGGGTGGGGGGGGGTGGAGGCACACAGAAAATGAAAGGTTAGAAGGACAAAAAAGTAAGCAACAGTGGAAAAAGGGGGTAGGGAGCAATGGGAAGAATGCAGGAGAGGAATGAGTGAATGAAAATAGGAAGAAAGGAAGAAGGAGAAAAGAGAGCCAAGGAGAGATTGACAGATAAGAGGCAGAGTGAAAGAAGATATAGATGTAGGGAAAAAAGCCAAAGGGCCTTTAGTGTCAGAGAGAGTGATTCTCCACAGGAAAAATGCACAGCACACCTCGTGTTGAAGACATTTCTGATAACCTTAATCCGACCAAAGCATAATGATCAAGCAGCTACAGTATTTTCAAAATATTGACACATGATAAGATGCAGACAGGCTCTGAAGGCTCATGGGTCATATCGCATATGTTGTTGCCATCTGGGCGACAGCTACTGTAGGAAAACACGAGCAGAGAGCAGTACATACTGTGGAGAGACTGGGAACAGAGAACTCCATATGCCTGGGGTCCCTATTGCACTGGAGCATCTCCACTCCAACCAGCACACGCGTCATCGCCGACACTTCCTCATTCTCGCACTGCGAACGGGGAAAAGAATGAGCATTTCAGCGCAGTCCTCGGCTGAACACACACCAATCCCTTAAGTTTAATTATAGAAAAGACATATATGTATTACTATTTGCTCATAAATTATACATGCACCTGCAGTATCCTCATTACCATCATTATCATATTGTATGTGTCCCAAATACCGCAGAGATGATCTTGTTGATAATGTATGACTTCCTATTGTGTGGAAAATTAGTTGATGAATGATTTACTGAGATTAGAGATAAACCCCCATTTATATTAACACTGCATTTCTTAATGTGCATGGCAAGAAACAAACCTCATTTAGCTGTGACTCAAAGCACATCAGGCTGAAAGGACTAATGTAGGACAGGAAATTCTTGGCTGACAAATGGTCGTAGGATTACGGTGACTAATCAAACCGTCCTTCTAAATGACAAATTGTATAAGTGCTTTGCCCACATTTTTATCCCACTGTAAGGCAGTACAATCAGGAAACATGACATCCTGAAAAGATAACAGTACAGGGGATACAATGCTGCTATATGGATATGGCGGAAGTAACACCTACCACATCAAAAGATTAATAAAAATGTCAGGCATCATATGCAATATTATAAGCACATTACAGAAGAACTGCGAGGAAACCATGATACAGGATACATAATTGTTACATGGCTATGTGTCCATGAGCTATACAGTTAGTGAGCATTCATCCTCCTTCACAGTTTAGCCTTTTTGTAGCGCAATAAAATAAATTCTGGGCTGCCTTTTAATCTTAGATATAGTATACACAGAGGATACCAGCCCCTCCAAGTAAAATAGAAAATAACTGCATACAAAAGTAAAAAAATATGATCCTTGTTTCAGCACAAAATTTGCAATACAAAGGGGGTGTTTATAGACCTTCTATAGTTTTTAATGTTACTAATTAAGGTTCTGTTCTATTCAGGTCAAACAGAGTCAGAGTGCTGCTATTGTGCAAGTTGACTCACTGGAAAGGTTTTGCTACACTAAATGGAATGGAACCTTAATTAGTATCATTGATAATACCTGTGATTATCCTAGCATTAAATATAAAAATGGCTACTGTGGAAAATGTCTATTGCTGTTACTTAAAACCAATTTTGTTGCAGTTCGTTCTTGTTCTTGTTCTGCCGACTGTGTTCTAAAACTGCAAATGCAGTGCTGCAGTGATCACAGTTTCAAATGCTTTCACCTAACTTTGAACTATTTCTGGTTCTGCTCACACAGGTCTCTTTACCTTTCTTGTAGAAATCCTGGTTTGTAGAACTTAAAACTCACTGCAGACACCGAGTTTAGATTTAGAGTCTTCTTCCAACAACATTATCAATTGCTGAATTAAAAGAAGATCAAGAGTGAAGTTTCATTCTCAATAGACACTTGTTTCTGTGGTGTTGGCTCATTCGCTGTAGACATGAACATGAACAGAGGTAAAAAGCTTTGGTACATACGTTGAACTTTATTAATGATGTTGGAAAAGCGGAGGCAGAGAGAATAGAAGAAGCAGCTGTAAGGAAAAGGGCAAGGTGGGAAAATCTGCAACATAATTGACAATCTGATGTCTTATAATTCTGTAGTACAGTGTTTCAGCAGAGCCTGCAAGCCAGTGGCCTCTTTCTCACTCAATTGAAGAGGTTTTTCAGTGCCTCACTCTCACTGAGGTCATGGGCTAACCAACTGTAGTTAAGTATATTATTTTCACTTTAATTGTGTTCATCACCATTAAATATATGCAGGTGTAAACTAATGATTTGTTGTGGTGTGTAGACAAAGAAGTATGCAGTATTTTATACAGCAGTAAGTAGTTTTGTTAACTGAAACACAGTTTTGTTACAATGGAGAAAAGTCTCATTGCAGTCAATTACTGTCTGTACCTCACCAATAATATAAAGCTTCCAAGCTCTCCAAAAATACTACTTCAATACAGTATATATGAGATTTAAAACCTTAATTTAGCAGCAAACCACTGTTTGCTATGTCAAGATATATTAGCATGATTGATGGTTTGAACAGTGGAAAGACTAACAAAGACTGTTTTGGTGAGTTTTGTGTCTGTCCTCACTGAATAAAGTTATGATGTTACAATGATATGCAAGGTAAATCGTCTATCTCCGTATAGATAATTTCCCTAATGTTTTCAGACACTTCTGACAACAACAACAATCTGAGCCTGTCAGTGGCAAAAACAAAAAAGCACTTTCAGTGGACGTACTTTGACGGGCGCATTCGCAAACCAAGTATTAACATTAGCTTACGTAGCAGCCTTTGCAGCCCTTCTTACGAATATTTATTCATCTAACTGCGTCAATTAAGGGTTTATTTGGACCAAACCAGCATTGGTGATTGTTGGGAAGACTGTGAAAAGACTAACAAAGACTGTTATGGTAAGTTTTACTTTTATTTCTGTCCCATTATTTTGGTTTGAGAGGGTGGTGCTCTGGTGTGACATGTAGTAGCAAGGGAATTTCGTATACATATATATAACCATTAATTAGCACACCGCTTGACTTAGCATAATTGGACATTTCCCACTAATTCTAAACTGTATGAATACTACTTACACTGAAATACATATATTGTTGGAGCATGATGACGTAAAAACACAAAGTAACACCTATATTCAAAATATACCTTTTGTGTCTCTAACACTGTGCACTGTACACATTGTAACACATTGGAGATTATGTTATCTTGCTAGAAGATGGCAGTGTCTTCTTCGCAGTCCATTGCTCTTGATACAGTTCTCATGTTTTAATGGTGCAACCTTATTTAGTAAATTACTAGTTTGAAATTAGTGAACTTTACATTCAAACTTAGAAATGGATTTATGAATATTTGTAGCAAACCGATCCTGGACTACAATCTGATATAATTACCTTACATTATAATATTATGAACAGGCCTTTATTAGTGCTTAATTAGCAACCTAAAATGAAGCACCATAGACGATTCTGGGCTTACACAGAGAACGGTACCTCATCTTTAGTGTCCATCTTTGAGCCAATCTGCTGTTGCAAGAGCCTCTTGATCTGCACCCATGTGGCCACCACCTGTTTCCTTGCTGCAATGGGGACGGTCTCCCCTGGGCTGTTGCAGTTGGATATGCGCAGGGCGTAGTCACACAGCTAGGAGGACGTGTGGAAAACAACAATGAGCTTACATTCTATCAGCTGGAAGTAGTTGGTATAGAATTAGCAGTCTGAGAAGCTTGATAAGTAGAACATGACATTAACATGGTCAGGATTATATATAATCCTAAATGATATTAAAATGTTAAAGTGGATCAAAGTGTCCATCAAATACCATAGATTATGATACATATCCGTGCACACCCTGGACTTTCTCTAGCTCAAGGCCCTCTGCCCGCCTGCCAGCTGAAGACATGACAGACATACACAAAAGACTCAAAGTCACCAAGACTTTGTTGACTAAGACACTGTATCTGACCCTGCTGTACTGTAGACTATAAAAAATGTATTGGAAAAGATTATTTTTTATCTTCCCTTCAAAAAGGAAACGATGAAATGTAGTTAATAATTCACTGATAAAGTGTCTTTCATCTGGAGTTAGAGCTGATATTCATGGAGGATCCTTTGAATAGAAAAGGAGAAAGGAAACAGGGTTTAATTGGCAACTGCAGGAAAGAGAACAGAGATATCAGACTTCAGTGGCACAAAGAAAGCCAGCCATGAAAGCTACATGTAAGTGCATACGCATGTGTGTGTCTCATGGTTCGATGAGTAATGGGTGCCAAAGAACAAGAACAAGATAACAAGATAACAAAATAGCACCTGAGAGTGCTTTAACTTTTCACCTGTGATGCTCTGATATCTTTCATGATAACATCTCGAGGAGGAATTAATGCTTTCTGAGAGGACTTGTGTTTCTTCAGTACAGATACAAATGTACTGTATGAAACATAAACAAATTAGTGCTAAGCCTGATCAGATATAGAGTGGCTTTCGTCTTAGCATTTTTGTTCTTGTGAAGCCCACTACCTTTTTGACATTATTATACTGTAAGTAAGGACCGAAATACATTTCACAGAATCAATGTACTAGAAGCTTATTTGCCAGCCAATTTTATGGACAACATGAAGTTTGTTCGAAAATAACATGAAAAAAAAAAGCTTCCCAACTGGTCGGTATCCGTATGACACTGACCAGTCTCATCATTCATATTTAATACAATTAAAAGTAAACATTTAAAAAGGCTGAAAATCAAGCTTTAATGGTTTAAACTCTAGTTTGAAAAGTGAGATTTGGAATTTGAAAGTTACAATCTGTACAAAAGATTAAAATTTAAGTTTCTGAGCACGTCTTGCAAAGATTCAGTGAATTCCATCCAGAGATTATATACACACTCCTTTCAGAGTCTTAACACAATCTTTTCACAGATTCTAATCTGTTCTTAAGCTTTGAATGCTGGAATTTCAGACATTGTTTTCACTATGGAAAGATCAGAGAGCTCGAAACACCCCAATCAGTCTGAGAGGGATTTGACAGAGGGACAATAATGTTTGCTTCAACAAAATAGATCTCCGACTAAACATATTTTGATTATTTTGTAATCTCAGTAAAGCTGGTTTCTGAGTTGTCATTATTTTGTGTTATACAATACTTGGAGGTTTCTAAACGTGAGAGTATTATAACCTCATTAATTTTTAATCAGGATGGATTATTTATTTTTCTTTGCATTTTTTATCTTTATGCAAATATGGTTACTTAATTGATTGCTTAGAGAGTTTTAATATAAATGTATGGTAAGAAAGGGCATCTTTATGCAAATGTATATTTCATAGTATAGTTAATGCAGCTTTTATGCAAATATGTTGGATGAGTAATGGATGTCAAACCCTAACCCTAACCCAATACCCACTTTATAAAAATGTATTGTGTCACAGTGAGATTTAAGCAAAAATATGGTGACACTGAAAGGTTTTATGCACTTGTTAGAGACATAGCCACGCAAATTGGTGTAGTTGGTGCGTCACACCTGCCAAGTAGTTGGGGATGTTCAAAAGCGCATTATGAAAGACTAATGTTACAATAATCTAACTGAAACTGAAAGTCACTATTCTTCTAAATACTTCTGTGGTACTGACATTTATTAAATACAGTAATCGAAACATTTAGTCACAGACACACAAAGGTGCCGCTTGCCCCCATCCCCTGCACACATACTGTACACACACTACGACATACCTCTAGGGCTTTGCGGACATCCTGCATGGCAGCAGGGTCTAAGAAACCCCCTGCGACACTGGCAGCCTTCTCCATCCCCTTCTCAGCTCTGTTTTTGCTCTTGTCTCCTTGCGGGGCTGGCTCGATGTGGTCTGGTCCACACAGAGGTTGGATCAAACCCCGGGCCACAGCATCACACAGCAGCACAAAGAGAGCACGATTTCTGAGAAGTACAACGCAAAGAATGCTCCAAACTGACATTATCTGGAAAAACAAGGACTGAAAGTTGGGCTTGAAGGCCAAACATCTTTGTTTTTATATTTTAGTTCTTGCTGAAGTAAAAGCCCTTACCACAGATTTGGATGGCAAAATGTATGTTTTGTCTCCTTGGCCACATTGTTACATGAGAATGTCACTGAATCACAACATTCACATAATTATTGCTCTGCTCAAGGGCAGTTTGGTCTGATTTCACGAACATTCACTGTTTCTTTCCACAGACAGAAATAAGATAAAAGCTTAAACAGCTTTTTTTCTGTGAGGGAGTTACAGTGCCATAGAGAATATATTATCAGACATTTTTCAAAAGTCAACCCTGACTGTGTCTAAAATGTTTTTTCTGAGGACAAGTATACATATTTCTCTTTTGAGCTTACAGTGTAATCATTTTCACCATAATGGAAAGACTATGTTTTGCATAGTAGTCCAGTGAGGGTTGAGTAAATGACTGCTGGGTGATGAAACACTTTCATAACCTACTGGGTAATTTTAAAAATGTACAGTCATCATCAGTATGGTAGATCTTCAAATGTTGACATTTTGTGAATGAGTTTTTCACCTGTGATATTGTAGTTCAGATCTGTTTACAGAAACACTGATGAAAGATCCACATCATGAATGATCCACATCAACAGCAACTGCCCAAAATAAGTCTTTAATTCATTGTCGGTGGAGCAGCTTGGCTCTTTTTAGCACTGGACCGAAATATACTTTACTATAGGCCAAACACCCAAACTATTCTGTCTAATGGGTATATACCCTGTAACAAAAGTGATAATAATTTTGAGACCTGGCCTACCCAGTGTACTCTGTCTTTTGGATCATCTCCACCAGACTCTGGAAGGTGGGAAGCAGGCGTAGGTACTCCCCAGCTGCCAACAAGTGGCTGCTGTAATTCCACAGGTAAATGGCTGCATTCGCTACCACCCACGGCTCCCTGATCTCTGCTCCGAGCTCCGCTGCCCGCAAGAAGTTGGAGGTGGCGTAGGCAGACAAAGCCTGGATCCAGTCTCTGGGTGAGAGAGGTAGAGAGGTACAGTAGTGAGTGGGAAAGGGAGAGAGAAAGTCGTGTTTGTGTGTGAGAGAGAAAGACAGTATTGTGGCCACATGATGTTCTATCTAGTTAACAATTAAACTAAAGGTGACTTTTTTTAAAAGTTGCTTGTTTAAACTTAAAATGCACATTTTCTTTACACAGATAGTTCCATTTGCTGTGTGGCAGGCTTTTCTGCATACACCAGGAAGAGTGGAAGTCACCTTGACAATGTCAAATATGTTATTTCTAATGAGGCATTCAACAGCAATTTATTTGAGCACCTGGTTGCACAGTGATAGCTCTCAACTCTCATAATATTACAGTGCACTGGAGGCAAATTTCAGGCAAAGTGTAATAGTGCCACTGCTGAATGGGATATGTCAGGTCATGTCAATTCAATAAAGAAAATAAGCCGTTAAGACAAGAAGAAGACAACCATGACTGCAATCCAAGTCACAGATATAAAGCATTGTTCAAAAAATGCAAATTGGTTTTTTGTGCAGATTCTATCTCGGTGAAATGGTTTAAATCCCATAATCACTGAAAAAGATAACCACAATGGCTCTGATCCTACTGTAAAGGGCATGAGGTGGTGGGGAAACATGTACGATCTTAGTCTTTAATGAAGATAATCATATCATTAATGATGTTTGAAGCCTTTCAACCATTTAATTGGTGTGGGAATGGTTTTGATCTTGTGTGTAGTTTTGGTTTAGGAATGAAAAGGGAAAAAACATCTTTTAGTTAATTGGTATGTAGTTCAAGAGATTGTGTCATTCCCACCATCGGCTTTCATTATTTCTGACAAGTTGCGCAAATATATTCAATTTAACTCACCGACCCATTAAATGAGCCACTGTCACTGAGGTACAAAATATTGTCACAACCTTCCTATCAGAGACTGTGGACATCCACAGTTGACAATGCACATAGAAGCATTAGTGGATAATTATGTAATCCAATATAGCACAATACACTACACAGCATTTTGTCAACCCTGCTACATTTCTTGGGACCTAACAAATGTTTTGTGGACCTCAGCAAATTTGTTCTAATTATTAATCTAATAATTACATAGGATTAAAAAAACACAACTGGAGGAAATGTGGTCACTGAAAGCTGCTTACAGTATGTTCCAGCAGACTTTTCCTGAAGTCTGATAGAGATGCTTATATTGCTGCTGTAGCTATTAATAATTCCAAATAAAACTTAAAATTTAAACTGAAATTGTTTTATATAATCATGTATGTATGCATTTAATAATTTTACAAATCCATACTTAAAATGTATAAATGGAAATGTAAAAAATAAAGTAGAAACATACAGTGCATAGACAAAATATTCTAGTTTTATGATGTTAGCATGTGTGTATGCATATTGTGTTTTCACCTGTAAACAGCCCATGGTGGATCCTCTTCAGACACACACTCCACTGCAGGGACAGCAGGGCTGTTTAGCTGCACCCCCTCTGTTAGCAGCTTTTGGACAGTGGCCTGAGCAGAACAAAATACATACATTTCCTCAACCCCAAAAGATAATATTTAAGTGACTTCCTGTTCACCTTCATAGTAGACGGAGTAGAGAAGACCTCCCCGCTATGGGATGACAGCTTCTCTAGAGCCGTTAAAGCTTAGCTGTAGCAGATCAAAGGAAAAAGAAATGACTGGTGAGCATTTTACTCCAGTGGTGGACAACTCAGGTAAGACACAAGGAACTTGTCTTTATCATCAGACTGAGGCGTAGGTATATTTAAAATTAATTCATTATGACCCAATTCTCAAAAAGTAACACCCATGTGTCAAGGAACAAAGACAGAGATACATTATAGGAGCAAGCAGAGAGGCTACCCTGTGAGTCAGTTCTGGCAGGGTCATGTAGTGGCTGTGGATAGTTGTCTCCATTTTCTTCAAAGTGCTGTCAAGTTGACATCTCTATGGACTTCATAAAGACTTGGAGCTTCAAGTTTGATGGGAAGTGGGATTACACAATAAGACAAGCTCATATGACGAGTCTCTGACTCCAACAAATCAACAGCTACCTCATAGGCTTGTTAAAAATCCCACAATGAATGTTTACTACTGCAAGCAGTCTTTGTCTCTAATCTTATACTTCAAAAGAGCTCAAGCTAAACAAATCAAGTAGAATATTCCAATAAAGTTAGCTCACAAGTTTTTGTGAACATGAACCCCTCAGTACAGTAGTAGCTTGTAGGCCAGAGAATGTAAATGCTCTCTTTCCACAGCTCTTGGTAACGTCTGTTAGCAAACGATGAAAGTCAGACAGCTGAAAGTTTTTGCGTCCGATCTGTAGAATAAAACCAATAAATTACAGCTAAGATTAACTCTCTATCATTAGAATAACCAGAAAAAGTGTTTGTGTCCCTTATATGAAATCGAACGCCATTTTGCTACAACTTAAGGTCAATTTTTTTCCCGTAATATCCATGCAGTGTATTTACTTTCAGTAATTGCCTTTCTATATAGTAGCTTTTATTATCAGTGGCAGTACAGTAATGAAATCTTTGGGATGGATCAACGCCAAAAAAATACATTTGGGTGCCTTTGCTTTGTTTTAGTCTGCAAATACCGAATGAACCAACCATGTTTACAGTAGGAGCAACATGAAACATTAAAAGTGTATGTGTGTATTAGGCGGCATACATTAGTGAGCACACACCTCCGCATTGATGAAGCGGATTTCAGCTAAAAGGCGCAGCAAGTCCCTCACACAGGTTTGGCTTCCATTGCAACCGTGAAGACATTCTGCACAGCTTTCTTCCTCCGAGCATCTACATTCTGGGTCAGATTGACAAAATCATTGATGTTAATTCTCGCAATGACAGAAAACCTCTCCTACTACTACTATTACTTCATGTCCACCTGTGTCTTTTCATCAGCACTACTTTTAACCAAATTAAATCTCATGTAATTTAGAGCCATTATTATTTTGAATTTGATTTACACATTAACAGTGAACTGAATGAAGATACTTTTATAATCCTGCAATGATAACACAGAAGTTATACAAACAGCGGTTATGTATCTAAGCCTGTGGTTTCTCTTTACAGCATTCTAATATCCTAATCTCTCCCCAGTTTTAGTAATGTTTCTGCTATTTTACCGTCAGTCTAACGATCATTCATCATCTTACTGTCAGTCCTGGAAATGTTCCATCTCCCGTCATCGTAAAGCAAACAGAATCGACAAGCAGCTCGGCACACATCCCAAACTTCCTGTTTCCTGGATGTCTTTACCAGGGTTGCCCACAACTTCACCCTGGAACAGCCAAGAAATAAAGAATGAGATGGCTCCTTTATAAAGGTGGAGGTCAGGGCAAGTGCACAGCAGCACAATGTATATGATCTAAAGTTGTTTGCTTTGCAGGGCCATGAATAATAAACTTCTCCTTTGGGGAATCTTCGGGTCCTGATGGCTCTGCTCTCTTATGACCATTATGCCTGCCAATTCTGATGTGCACACTTTTTTACTGTAATGACATCAGTAAACAGAAGAAACCCAGCTATGTGCTTTGAATAAGGAGATGTAATGGAACCTTGTAGACTCCTGTAGCCACACAACAACTTTAAGAGAGAGGACCAATATATCACACATGCATTACTATGTAATGTTCTGTAACAGCAAACAGTAATAAATTCAACAAGGCATATATGGATGATTATATAGCCAATATTCCAACTGGGTTTCTGGGAAGCCTGACAGCTAAAAATAATTATCAAGAAATTTGCACTGGCAGAATACAGAAAAAAAGGCTTTCACTCGAATTGATACACATACAGTACAAGTACAGTCACAAATAGTACATGTAAATGTACCAACACACACACACACACACACACACACACACACACACACACACACACACACACACACACACACACACACACACCCTCTCTGTGTTATCTGTGTCATCTCCTTGTCTGGCCAGGTATCCATCCACCTTCCATACAGATGTAGAGTGATGTTGAGCCTTAGCAGAGAGCTGAGCCACTGGTCCAGATCCAAGACTGCCTATGGGAACTAGACAATTGTTGGAGTACTGAATACATAAGTTGAACTTTATTAATGATGTTGGAAAAGCTTCTGCATTTTCTCTAAATAATGAATTAATACAATATTCTGGCTAGCATGCATAACAAAAAGTCTAGTCACACTGTTGCACAACTCCTTGGGCTTAAATCATTGTCTATAATTCAAAGAAAATAGAACAAATGTGCACTCTCATGCAGAGTGAGAATGTTATCCTTCTGAGGAAGTTACATAATGATCCTTATTATGCCATTTCCATGTAAGCAAAAGGAAACACGAGTAAGGGACTACAAGAGTAAATGGCCCATTTCCAGCATTTTTAACTCTTTCAAAAAGGGATGTCACTGACTACAGCTTAATCACATTAGACATGTAAGAAAAACAAAACAAAAATAAAGGCACATATTCCAGATTATTACACAGACCTATCTCCAGCAACAGGGGTATTCAATCATTTGTTTAATAGATGGAATTATAAATAGGGGTCTATGACTTTGAATGCTCTAGTGCGTGTGTGCTCACTCTGAGAGTTCAAACACACACACACGCTCAGGCACACACCTCTCATTGATGAACATCTGAGGAACAATACAAAATGGTGGCTACATTACATGCTGCAATTAATTAATTCTTATAGTCTCAAGGGTTACTCTGTGTGCTGGCTTTGAAGCTCAGAACACAATGTTTAAGTGTCGTCATCTAGGGAATGCTTGATGTTTATGGACAAAAACAAGAGGTGCCTCTACGGACAAAAGCTTTTAACCCATGCTTGCAGGAAAAGCCCCTTGACTAGCTGTCAGAGGCAAATTCTTCCCTGGGTCATTAGGACTGCTGAATGTTCATTTGATGCTGTGGACCAAGGAGTCTAAAATGAGCCTGAGATCAAAGACCCCGAGCTCAGGCCCTTCTGCTCCCTGATCCACTGCACGCGGTCGATGAGGCTTCGCTGGAACACATGCAAAGTTTCTGTCCTGACTTTAAAACCAAGGGACAAATTTACAGCCAAGACAGAGCACATCAATTTTGCTCTGTGACGCTCATTCAATTTGTATCGACAATCTGTGTGTAATGAGTGTCTGTTTTACTGAGACAGCCAATCATTACACAATCAGTGCAGAGGACTGCCTTCCAGGTGCATTCTGTGAGTGAAGGAGGGCTAAGTCAGATCGACTAGATCAGTATGAGCTCACCAAGCTTAGAAAAGAAATTATAAAGCAAGTATTCATACCGTATTGATATACTAATTAATGAACTAACAAGATTCCAAAGCATTTACGTATGGCATAGTTCAGCGCCTAAGATAAATGTTTTATTATTCACTAATTTATGGTATCTCCGGATCTGTAGGCTCATTTATATTATTAATGCAACAGGACACAGACTTCAAAGAAAAAAAAAAAAACACCACACAAAATACAGTGTACCAAAGCCACCACAATGAGTGTAGAGAAAGCTAAGAAAGAGAGAAAGAGAGAAAGAGAGTGGGAACAGGCAGCAGGTTCAGCAGAAGCTTAGAACCGAGCAGGTAGAGGGTGGAGAAAATTTACACTACATATGTATATACTATACATATTTGTTAATAAAGGAATATGATTATGGGCTTAAAGTAATTTTTTATGATATAAAATAGTAATTTACTTATACTCATATGTTCTTATTCCATCCCTTAAATGTGTGTATGCATAAAGGAGAAAGTGACTGTGCCTGCAGAATACATCCCAGATAAGAGGTCTCTGGGGTATATTCTTCCAGGCCAGTAAACTGTCTGTTTACTAAAGTTTAATGAAATGTATGATTCCTAGCACAAATACAAGAGGAAAAAGGCTTACTAAATATGGACATGTCGAGAAGATCTTCTTGCAAATCAGAGATGCGTAAAGAAAATGTTATTGTGTCTCAGTGAAAACCAAAAGGGAAGACGAGAAATCTGTACTTTTGGAGGTGTTGTCTGCATCCAGCACCACCTGGAAATCATCGGGGGCCAAAAGGAGACCCGCAGCAACCAGGATGGGACGACTGTCTGTCTTCTCTTGGGGCTGCATGTCCCTGGCCTGAGAAAGAGATTGAAGGTTTGGATGTCAGATTGGATGTTAACTTGTAGCCATGCAGTTTATTTATATTCCTCTAAGCAGGCAAACTATCCTCTGTGAATTTAAGTACACCACACATCAAAGCAAACTGAATTTTTATCTTATGGCATACAAATTACGCTTACTCTTGTCTAATTAAACCTGCATAATGTGAGTTAAATGTGATTTGACTTTAACACCCAAAAGTCATTCAACAACTAAGTTCTGGGGGGATAGGGTTCTCTTCTACTTCACAAGCGCATAAAAAATCTTGCCTCGTTCAGCTTTAAAAAATTGTTACATTTTGTAATGTTATACTGTCTGACAAAGATAGGCTGAAAACCTGCTGCATAAGCATAGCGGCTTTATCCTCGGTCCGGGAGGGCGTTTGGTAGAGGGTCCCTCTGAGCTGCAGGAGGCGGAGAGCTGACAACAGGCGTTCTCGTTGTGTCCCGTTATCCAACAGCATGGCTTTCTGAAGGTGAGTCAAGGAAGCCTCAAGGCGCCCCTCCTCCTCTTCAATCACTGCCAGCTCTGAGTGGACTTGACAGCGCATCTCCAGCAACATACTGTGAAAATAACACACAAAGACTTCAGACATTAACTAACATATTACAAAGGAACGAAAGTCTGTAGGTCTGAAACCAAAGTTCACAATTGGGAGATACTAATGATATCTACTTATGTCATCTTGAAAAACAGCTCAATGTTGGCTCTCAGTAATTGTAACAAAAGGCTAAAGTGAAAGAAACCTGACATAAAAGTTACTGTTTCTTACCATAAATCATCATAATAGCGTCTTTCTTGATCCAAATACATACATTTACAGTATTTAAGCCTGAAAGTAATCGTTTTAAAAATGTAACTGCAGAAAAGCACACTAAGAAACCATTTTGATGGGGTGTGTTGTTCAGGCAATCTGCATTACTAAAACCAGGAAAACATTATTAAAACTCAACATTATCACATTAAAACATAATTTGAACTATAATTTGAAAATGACCATGATACATGCTGTATATCGTTTATACAGTATGGACTTGAATGTTGAATTAGACCACAGCCTGTCAATTCTTTTGTGAAATAGCTACAGGGCACAGCTAAACATATGTTCAGTGAATTGTAAACACTAGAATAAAAATGTAAAAGCCCTAAGACATACACACATAACCATGTATGATCATGAATTTGAAGAAGTTGGAAAACCTTTGCATGTCTTCCAGTACTTGGGCCACACTGAGCAGAGGTGTCTTGATGCGTTTCCTGAGGTTGTGCTGCAGGAGGGGCAGGCAGGAGCTCCACTGGGTAGCACACACTGCCTGTATGGCCTGAGGATCCCCCTCCCTCACTGCAGTCTGCAGCCACTGATCCAGCTTGCTTATCTCCCTCAGCCGGGCCTGTGGGATAACAACTACAGATTGAGAATCTCTCCTGTAGCAATGACAGCACGACACTTCTATCACTTGGCAAGTGTACTTGGACTGAATTAGACTGAATATGTGGTGCCAATCTTTAAATGAGACAGTTTTCACCTCAAAATATTATATGGTACAAAATGAGATTACATGATCCTACTCCCCTCCAGAATATTTAGGAAATATAGAGGAAAACACTTCTGAAAACATATTGGGGTGATTATATGATAATTAAAATTCTCCACTGAAACTGATAAAGTGCTGCCAGATTAGCAGGGTTAGCAGTTCCTTAAGGCAAGGACACCTATTTAAGTGAAGGGTGATTTCTGGATGTACCACCTTTAAACAAAGAATGAGATTACATAAAGTATTAGTGAACGGTTAATCAAGGCTCCGCCAATGGGTCCCGTGCCTGCACTATAACATGTGGCAGAAACACATGGCTGATAATTCAGGAAAATGATCGAGCACCTCCACACTGGCTTTGGAATAGTCATTCATCTTCGCCTCTCTCTTCAGGAGGTTGATTTCACAGTTGACACATTCCATTATTATGCGTTGGCCGATACTCTAAAAGGACAAATACACATGTGATTTCAAGAATTAGCATTCAGCAATGCATGGAAGGATGACACGTATCTCGTATCACAAGTTCTTGCACATGCAGTGTTGCTAATTATGGTATGTCAGAGCAAAAAGGGCACAATTCTGAAAAAACTACACACCTTTCTATGAAATAGATTACACACTTTTTTTCACATTACACTACATTGCTGAAAGTAATCAAGCATGCAACAACCTCTTTAGCTCGTGGGCATGAGCTCAGCTAATTAATCTCATCTATTGTCAAGTGCCTACTTTAGACAGGATGTCAAATTCCATGAATAAATTTGCACGCTTCTATAATATGTACAGTTACAGCACGGAGCCACGCTACCGCCTAAGAGAATATCGGACACTCACAGCCTCTCCTGCCGACTTTAGCTCTTTCAAACAGCTGGCAGCTACTTTCTGATGCCTCACTTGCAAGGCCAGCAGAGCCAACTCCAGGAGGAAGGCAGATCTGCAAATCCCAGATAAAACATAAATTATACAATTCACAACACTTCAGTACAGTAATCTGAGCCATGTACTGCCCTTGGGATATACATGTGGTTTTATGGTAGTGGGAGGTTCAGGAAGAGAACAGGGTGCAACAGGGTAGGTGATTTGTTGAGTGACACTTTGGGTCACAGACCTGTCAGCTGGTTGGATGGGTGTTGGGCTCTGAAGAGGGCTGGAGTTCACAGGCGTAGTCGTTACTTTGCTACAGTCCACCAGGAAATGGAAAATCTGCTCCAGCTCCTCTTTGGTTGACTCACCCTCATTCATTTCTTTCAACCTGCTGCAAACAACATGAAAACTTGTCTGTGTACATTAATATACATCCAAGAGTATGCATGCATCTGTATTTTCGTTTGCCCCCTAATATACTCACACTAACAGTGCATAAACCTTAGGCAAAATAACCTATAAGATGCTGACGATTGCTGGGTCAAACTGAGTCATGCTGTCAACGTTTATAGCCGAGCTGGGGAACCATAAGGAGCTCTGACATGTTGAGAACATGCCTGCAGAAAGGGGGTGTGGGCCGGGATTGAGTTTGCACTATAACACACCAGAAGCCATGCTTCTATACTATTCATGTAAGCGGGCAGCCAAATAAACTTGCCCACTATGGGACGCCAAAGGCTAAGCTGAGAGCCAGGGGGTTAATGTCTGAAGAGCTTCCAAGTTAGCTGAAGGTATGAAGCTTCAGGATCAAACACACATCAATGTCCCTCTGGTTGCCCTATAGCTCAAGAAGAGATGGCATATAGGAAAAATACACACTGTAGGTTACAAATACAGAATGGTAAAACTGCACAAATCATGACCTTAGTATGACCATTAACTGTATGACTGAGCTTGTCTCTATTATTAGCAGCAAGAAGCATTCTAAAAAAGCAAACAGGCAATCAATCAATAAAGCATATTGTTTCAAACACAATGTTCCCTCAACGAATGTTAAAAAGCACACACTGATAAAGCAGATCAAAGCCTCTCTTCTTTGATAATGACAGCTACAGTACAATTTGTTTATCTTAGCAGCAGATAGATGGAATAGGCTTTCATCTTGGCAACAATGCTCTATGCAAAACAAATCCTCTGACAGCCTCAGAGCAGAAAAAAAATAAAGCTTGACTTAAACATAACACATAAACTTTCCTTACTTTTTAAATTCCTGTACTTTGTAAATGACTGTTAAGGTAGTGCACTGCCTGCTCATTTCAATGAGGACATCACTCTCTGCCAGCTTGTGATGTACCTAGAAGAGAAGAGTAAAGTGAAGGTTGGAGTTACTCTTTATTTATCACGCCAAAATGTTTTACTAAAAGCTCTACGGTACTTCAAAATCAACTCAATTATTTAAATGCAAAGTAGTCCGCAGCTAACCAGTGTCCAGGCCAGGATAAGACAGGGGTAGATTTTATGAATAGGGTCGGGATAGCAATGACTGGAGGATCTATTAGCAGAAATGGAATATAATATGCATAAATATGTTTCAATAATGTAATAATCACCTGAAAATAAGAAGTGTTGTATTGTTGTGTTTTTGGTACCTTAGAATGAGTCTGGAGGCAGCCATGTTGAACTGTCATATTTGTAAAATAGCCCAGACAAACCAAACACTGGCTCTAGATAAAGCTGTTTGTGTTTTTTGCACCGTTTATTCACCTGGCTGTTAGTCATCTTTAATAAAATGGTACCAAGTTTTGAAGTTCACCAAGTTAGTCATAATGGTATATCAATGCTGTTCCATGAAACCCAAGTACATTGAAAGATTGAATGCCCTTTTGTTGGTCCAGACAATTTTCCTAAACAATCTTTAATTGTGTTTAAAGTTAAGGTCACAAAGTAGTTTTTCTTAAAGATTCAGTGCTTAGTATTTAGTGGCATCTAGTGGTGTAATTGCAGATTGCAACTCCCTCACTTCACCCTCCCCTTTCATGAATGAGTGTGAATGAATATTATATTCCATTTCTGCCAACAGATCCTCCTCAATGTTACACACTGGACCTTTAATGACAAACATTTTAATAATATGGAGATACATGGTTTTCACGTGATATGTTAACTCCCAAAATAAATGCTTCTAAAACACTGTTAAATCTTTATCATTTTTGTAAGTAATAAAGAAATGCTGTTTACCAGTAACATAAAGAGTCTCTGATAAAGATGTGGGGTATGTGACTTGATGAATTCTTCTGTAACTTTAGCTAAATTTACAGCATCCTCCGTTTCCCCACAGTCCACAAGACATTTGATCAGGTGCCTGAATAGAAACAGAGAGCAAATGAGACCAACGAAACATTCTTTGCAAGGGTTACTGGGACATTTCCTCAACAAGTAGACATTGTTTACAATGTGAGTTTTACTACCGCAGTCTCCACAGCACTACAGTATATACCAATTTCCCAGTTTATTACTGTACTCACACCAAGCTACTGTACATCCAACACAATAAAGTAGCCCTTATTTTATGATACCTGTATTGTTCTGTTTGGCTGACACTGGGGTGATGTTTCTCATATTGTTCACCCCTGGTCAGTATAGACCATGCACTGCATTATTATAATTTTGAATAGAAGCCATGTATGTTGGCCACCCTATATTATACGGATAATACTATGCTATGAAGCTATGAATTTCAGACTGTACCCAATCCCATTAATACCCTGGGTAGCTATATCATTGACATTCATGAATGGTATATTATGTCCTCTGAACAAAGATAACTAACATTTGGGCCTGAGGTGTCATGGGAGAGCATGATAAAACAGCTTACATTAGAACAGATTCTCCACTCCATAGAGAAGAATAAGGCAACCAATTAACTAGGGAGCCAGAAAGCTGTGGAATGAACTGCTGGTTAATTAGCTCTGTATGTCATCCCTGTGAATCCAGCATGAGACAGAATCAGGACTGGACTTATTCATGAAAGACAAGTGAAGGAGCATTGCGGGGTCACTTGCATCATGAGTTCAGCCCTCCAGCTGTGGTCCTGGTCTGCCACATCCTCCAGACTCTGGACCACCTGCCTGAGGGAGGGGATGAGGTGAAGGCACCGCCCTGGCTGCAAGAGAGGACGCACTGTCTGGAAGTACAGCACGGAGGCATTGAACACTAGGAAGTGGTATCTGCAAGAAACAAACCACATGCAAAATAAGTAAACAGAGAACACTGAATTATTTATGTGATGTTCATGCGAGCCATTTCATATCTTAGTACAAATCAATTCAGACCAAGTGTCAGCTCTGTATGTATAAGTCCTGTAAATTGCGAATGTGTGTGGATTAACCATCGTCCAATGAGCCTCAAGAGAGCACCCTGTGTAAGCCGTTATATGTGAAATAAGGGAAATTTATGAATTCAAGGCGCTGTTTTGGAGGAAATTGTCTGAACAGAGTGCTGCTAATTTATTCACCAGAGAGTGTGTGGTGCATTAGTTTGGGCTGGATGTATTAGATATGTATTCCCTTTGGTATTAATTGCGATTGCTCATTCAGCCCTTTTATTGACAAGTTATGAGTTCATTAGCAGAGAAATTCAGTGCTGATTGCTTGCAAAGGCTAAGCCGCTATCTCCAAACACATCTTTCAGAGCAAGGAACAAGGGAACTTATCCTTCACAGTTTCTATTATTACATCTATATTTATCATCCTTTTCACCCTGCTCACAGATGCTTCCAGTCAGCTGTTACATTTGATAAGAAAACATGCTGAATCTCATCCAATTGTGAATAAAGGGTCAGGGTAAACCATGAAGAATCATGTTATATTTCAGCACTGCTCTTTTCAAATCAAACATTCATGTCCCAGAATATTTCTGTACAGCAGACTGAACTCTCTGAACTCATCATAGCTAAAACAAAAATCCCTGTTGTAACTTTCATTACATGTTTTTACAGGTGTGCCTTAGCACTATAGTGACAACTGTCAAACAGTATCACAGATGATAAATTGTAAAAGGCATAAATTGGTCAACTTGCTTGACACAGTTAGAACAAAGCCAAGCACATTCAGAGAGGTTACATACCTTTGTTCAGATTTTGAGATTTCAATTGCTTTAAGAAAATGCAGCACAGCCTCTTCAAAGTCTGCCTACAATAGAAAACAAAGCAAAAGTGTCACATCATACAAACATACAAAGATCAGACAAAAAAATGCCACAGTTTGATCAAATACCAAGAAAAACTTTACTGTGGAAATACAAGGGAAACATGGCTTCCAAAATACTAGTTGTTTACAAAGCTAGGACATTTGCTCCACTTTAAGTGCAAATAAGTACAGTACATGTCTACAGTAGATGTGGCTGTATGTACCCCAATGTCACAGACACACAAATACACACAACCCCCTTGAGGAAATGTGTCCAATTTACTGTCCTCACCACACTCCCAGTGGCCGGCGGAGACTTCAGCTGGCCCTGGCAGAGGTAGGCTCGACACAAAAATTGATTAGCCGGCGGATTCCCTTCAAAGTACATCTTTAGACACGCCGTGCTTATCTCCAAACAACCCAGCTGAAAATAAAGAAAAAGACACACAAAGGCCAAACAAAATAAATATTTAAACCTTATCCGCAGTTATACTCTCTCTGTACGTTCGATGCATTATTAAAAACTATTCAGAAATGGCTTGATGTATGTGTGATGCACATTTATTTGGCGAATGACAAAAAAAGATCATCTTAACTGCAGGCTGTTGCCCTTGAGAATGTCAGTACTGTGTTATATGGTCTAATTTACACAAGGTAGTGTTTATTCAAGGAACTATACTACTGTCAGGGGAGATAATCCTGTGACACAAATTACAACCCAATACTGTAAACTCTTAATTTTGTTATGATTAAGTATTTCATTAATGAAACCTAACATTAATAAACAGTGGATCAGTGTGTGTTCATGCTTCTCTAGAAAACTGAAGAATGTTGTGATGCAGTTCTGCTGAGGATGAGGACTAATTCAGTAGTCACTTAAGCCTGAGACTCCCAGGCAATCTGCATTTTCACTGCTGTTTGATATAAAGAAAAGAGAACAAATCACATTATAGAATATTACTGTGTCTCATTATTCAAATATGTTTCCCCTGCCCTCGGACAATTCAGTCTACATTAGTGAATATTCATTACTATCCCCTACTGGGAGAATAGTTAGATTTAGCTAACTAAAGTTACTGTATGAAAACAATGACATAATGAAATAAACTGACAACCCCAAAAGGATCTGGCTCCATTAGTGCTTTTTAGTCAAACCAAGCAAATCCTGTCATGCATCCTCCCAACATGCCAGTAATGTCAGAAAAAATTCAGGAACTTCCACAGAAGAAGATGCTTACATATCATTACAGTCGCAGGCATTTACTCATATAAATGCACTCGGCATTTTTCCCAGTCAGATGTAAAACTTTCATTCTTGGAGGCTGCTTGAAGCATCATGTCTTATGCGACATCTCAGCAGTCGTGAACTCCTCACAACATGAAAAACACTGCTCACAGTGCTTGAAAGGCAAGGTTGCAGGCACATTGAGGGCGTGTGTTTTCTCCATAGACTGCATGGCTTTCTAACATGAATCTTTCATACTGTGGTTTCAGCATCCGTCAAATGCTGACTGTAGGCCAATGTGTAGACCTGAGGACATTGTCCTTAATGTAGGTCTATACATCTTACAATTATTTTCATTATTGATGACCAGAAAATATTCACATTTAAGAGGCTGAAATCAAAGAATTTTGACATTTTCTATAGGAAAAAATGACTGAAAAGGATTAATTGATTATCAAAATAGTTGGCAATTAAAGTTGGCAATGAAAAACTTAATTTTAAGTCTTTAAGATTGACTCCTCAGTTATACTGTACACCTATTTAACAATGTATTCCAATAATTACAAAATCTAAACAACTTCTTTGTATTTCTGTGTCAAATCCAATCATTTTGTCTTCCTGTAAAGCAAAATGTGCCGCATACTTAAATAAACATGAACTAACCCACTTCAACCAATAATTGAATTCCATAATCTATTCTCTATTCTCTCTATTGAACTAGTATTCAGTAGAATTTAGTTGGCATGATCTAGAAGACTGAAAGTACATATTTATTCACAGAGTATTGGCAGATTAACAGAGAAGTGCATCGACCTGCACAGTACAGTGGATCCATCCCTGCCACCGACTCACCTGTAGAGCTGCTTCCGCACAAGCGACGTGCAGCTCCGGGGCAACGCGTGGAGTTCGCCCGCTGGTTGCAGCTGCCGTCATGTCCGTGATTAAACGGTAGGCTGACCGGAGAGCTCCGGAGTCTGTATCACATTAATTACACGGCGTTAATTAAACCACAGTGAAGGCATACTTTCACAACTCGTTACAAAGTGTATTTAATTGTTCCTGAATTGATACGTTACGAACCTCGTTGCTCATTTGCCCTGGTTAGATACTGACGAATGTCCAGGTCCATGTCAAGTGAGAGTGAAGGAAAAGAACCGTAGAGATATTGTGTTGCCAATGGAAGCACTGCACCGGGTGTGTGAGACACTAGCAAGTCAACAAAAACGCGACATTGTTAACTAACGTTAGATAAACCGTTAGAAAAACCATACGCCCGTATTAAAATAGTTTTTAATGGAAATATGGCGCTCATTGGTTTCTTTAAAGACCAACAATTACTCCGTGTGAACGGTAATGTTAGATCCCAACGGTCCCACCATCACTGTTTGTAGTTAGGGAGCGTTACTAGGCAACCGTACACCGGGCTTTTACTACGGTACCCGGATAGGACAAAAGGGTTGACGCTCTGCTTTTGCTTTATTTTAGCAAAGACTGGCAACATAAAACATAAATGTATTTCTTATATTAGTTGACCGTCTGAATAACACACTGATTACTACCTAGAGATTAAACAACTCACTGTAGTTACTAAAATCTAATCAAATAGGCTTTACTGGCTTAAATATTCATGTAGCCTACAGCTAAATTTGCACAATTAATTTTCATTATAAGAAAAAAATATGAATAAGAGAAAGATAAATGAAAAGCCTACAAATAAAAAAATAAAACATTTCTCTCTCTCCCTCCCTCTCTCTGTCTCTCTTATACACAGACACACACACACACACACACACACACACACACACATGTGGGTACCAAAAGCACCTCTTCATGCTTGTGGTCCCAACGCTTCTTAACTTCAAAGTGCATCATTAGAAATCAGGCCACTCAGTGTGCAAATATAATTTACTTGGTCAAACCAAATACTGCTACTGATGTGACAGGGGACAAAGTAGCGAGGCAAGGCAAACTACTGTGGCTCTCCTCTCCCTATAATGGACTTGGTGTTCCTAGTTTGAGGTTTAATTGACAGAATCGCATATTACCTGCCAGTATTTCAAAGCAGCATAAATACAGTAGCTCCTCAGTGCCCCTCAAGCAAATTTGTTAAGCAGTTCAGCATTGGATCTGTCTAAATATACACACAAAGAGAATATTCACCCTTTGGCTTTAAATGTGAGATATATAATTATTTTCCAGGAGAGATTTTTCCTCTGTCACTTGACCTACTTAATGGCTTGAGTTGGTGCTTTTATTTGTTGTAAAGTTTCACAACTGTCAGTACTTTTGCTGATAAATGTGAGTTGTGTTGTATGCTCACTGTTGAGCTGCAGAGAGAAAGACCTGTGTTGTATTCCTGGACATTTAAGAGAAGCGATGAACAAATCACTGTAAAAGGGATTTGTTCAGGTGTACTCATACATTTAAATTATGTCTCAGCAGTATAAAGTAAGTTTCTAATATCACCTGAGCTGTAAGTGCTCATTTAAATTATCTTAAATTAAGTCCAAACACACTCAATCTAATTTCTTAATATTAAACTACAGGAGAAGTAGTTTGCTTTATGTAAGTGATATAATCAATTCATAGCAGACGAAGGTGTGGCTGGCCTCACAAAGTCAGCAGCCAGGCAATCTGGCTAACACAGATGGTGCTATATGATGATGAATAGGCTCTTAAAAATGCTAAATGTTTATTCAGGCTGTCATCCAGTATGTTACAGCAAAACACCTGTCCTACTATATAGTTTAGTATAAGAATCTTTACTGCTGTATAATCTGATGAAATTAGATTTATACAATATATTATATTGCTGTAATTGCATATAATCATGTCAATAAATCAATCAAGTCAAAATCTAGAATCAAGGACCAAGGCTTCAACATGTTAATGTCAAGGCAAAACTTTATTGACAATAAATGTTAAACAAAATTAGCTTTTTAAATGGAAGTAATGCAAGAGAGAGTATGTGCCAATATTCCAGGAACAACAAGCAGCGCAATTTCCCTGCGTCCACAATATCTGACTTTAATTCACTGTCAGTGGAACAGCTCCAGGAATTGCTCATATTCACAAAGAAAGACTTAACTGTCTCGGATTACATGAATAACAAGCCCACACTCTTTTCAGAATTTAATTTAAGGAATTGAAGAGTGAGTTGAAGTTCAATCCAATATATAAATGCTAAGCTCCAGTTAGGGCTCAAAAGCAGATTTTACTTCCATTTAGCTTCTGTGTACACACCATCATAAATACCATTTTGCTGAAATGCGGCATGTTTGGGTCATGGTCTCTTGTAAAATGAGAAAGGAAATTGAAATGCCATTAAGTGATAATCCATGAGCTATGTCTGTGAGTTATCTTTGGACCAGTGCACAGATGCTATAGCCACATTTAATGAGGCTATAACCACATGTCACATATCTTGCAGCCAGAGAACAAAGATGAACAGCGCACCACCAGTAGTGAAATTACATTAATCACCCGGGCTTTTTCCAAAGATGAATAGAAGCAAAAACCCAAAAGGCTGTTGCTCCTGTGTTTCACACCAGGAAGCTCATTGAAAACATGCATTCAGATAAATAAGATGAGTCAGAACAGATTTGTTAGCTGTTTATTTTTAATTCCTTAGAAGTTATAATGAGAAAAAAGAGAGAAAAATAATTAAAAGTAGCATGCTGATAGGGCCATACAGTCCAGGTTTACAGCCGCTGTCGGTATCTCACACTGTGTTGAACTTAATTCCACTGACAAAGCTATTAAAAATTTGGCTACATTTGACCTGGCAAACCTTTGATCAGCTACACGCTCTGAAATGATGATATCTGCGCAGCCATTAATCAAAACAGAACCACTGAGAGTGAGTGGGGTTTTGGTAACAAGCATGTACAAATAAAATCTTCTATGAAAGTATCTGTTTGCATCAAGCCAGCATATTGCACAGTTCACCTCTCATTCATAATGAATCAAAGGCACTGTGTGGAATAAACTCTTTTGCATTAACCAGCCCCCTAATGGGAAAACTTTCAACATCTCTGAAAATCCCCACAATAGCAGCATATCCCTAAGATGTTAAATCAGCAGGATCAAATCAATTATTGATCAACTCTCAAATTGTTATCAATAATTGAGCATTTTGCACATGTGAAGCCCACATACACAAGAATGGCAGCAGCCAAACACATACACGCAAGACTCATTATAGTTTACTATTTAGATACATATAGAAGTACTAAATTTGGACTCAGAGCCAAACAACTTCATATATGATTGAAAAGATAGATTTCTTTATCTGTATGTTTATGAAACACGTCTTTGATAGCAGAATGTACTGCAATAGAGAGCTGAGAGATACTCAGCAATAGCCTTTCATTAAGATTCAACCCAAAGTTTGTTTTAAAAAGTTTGTATAATGTTATTTAATAGGCTTACTGAAATGATCTACAGTCAAAAGTTTACACTGGTCTGAACTAAAATAACCATTGCTCTACCACACTAGTAAACCTTGAGAAATTTAAAGAAGACTAAGACTTTACAGCCATACTAGCGGCTCTATGAGGCTGTACTGACACAGCGGTGCTTTGAGTGAAATGCTAACGTAAGCCAATCCATCCAGCAGCATTTCGCGTAAAAGCACAAATGTGAACTTCATGGTGGCACTATAAAGGGAAAGTTAGGGGATTACCAAATGTATCAGGATTACATATAGGCTTCTGTTTTTGACAAATTCAGTGTTTTCTTGTCCCTGGTACTTGGCCATTGTTATATTAGACAATTTACATTTACTTTTCTTCAAGTGAACCAAATGCTGAGATATAAGCGTACTGTGTGTAAGTTTTCTCCAAGAAGGCCTCGCGACCCCCCCTTGAAACTTTGACCGACTTCCAGGTAGGGAACCACTGCTCTAGGGACCATGTCTGTACCAAATGTCATGGCATCAATCGAATAGTTGTAGGGATATTTCTTTACTTGGTACCGATCAACTGACAGATCAATATTGCTATGGCATAGCACGGCTAAAAACATAAGCCTTCACACTTTGCACATGCACAAAGAGTGGTACAAGCACAGGTCGATCATTTTTGTTTTTTAAGTGAATCTAAGGTGAAGCATGATGTGATTGTCACAAAATCACTTTTATCGCGTTTGGTTTAGTAATTACCACAATGTAGGCCACACTGCTCTGCTGCATATAACAGGCTACACCAGTGTTTTCTGCACCAGCGAATGTCTAATCAGACCACCCACATTTAAGATACAACTCAATCAGCATTGAATTTTAAACCGACGTAGGTGTTAGTAATTTAAATGAATGCATCTGAAATTCACTGTGCATTTGCTGAGAAAGCCCACATTGAGCTGGGTATAATTAGTTTCTCAAGAACCAAATCCCTCCTTTAAAAAAAGACATACAGTAACATCAGTCATTGATTGGATAATGAGCCTCAGGCTAAATTCTAAGCCCTTCCCAAGTGCCCATTTCAAATCCTTTGAGGCAATGTATCAATTAGTTATTAATGTGAAATCAGCTGATGGTCCAAACAAAAAAATGTGGCAAACTATAATGTTCCCATGATGCCTCTTTTCATTCATACATCAGCATTAACGTTTAGTTCCTCTTAGGAACGAGGTTTTCTATTAGATAGGGATAATTAGTCATGTGAATCATGCTGAGGAGCATTTGCATGCATTAGTTACACCTCATAGCAGTTTTTTGGCGCAGAATACTACCCTTCCCAAATAATGCTGAGTTATCATGAGCAATACATAATTTATAGGTCCATTGCTTGGACATTTGGGTCCCTTAAAGGTTTTGCTATCTGATTTTGTAACACTGAGCAGGTTGCATTTCCTCTACATCTGTTCCCAGCAGTTTATGTGTCCTGTACTCCTCAAGTATCCTACTTTATGCACAATAGGCATACACACTTTTTGGATGATGCGGTTTCCCAATCTGCTAGCTTAAACAATTCAACATTTGAGAATAATCTGGCCTGTCAGAGCTGGACTTGTCAGACTCACAGTTTCTTATCTACGCAAGCATGTGTTCAAGCGGCTAATGAGGGTATTGACTCACTGCTCACGCTCTCATTGGAGATGAAGGATGTCAGTGATTTGTTTAAACATCATCAGCGTGGGGATTGGATTTGATGGCACCCTGGATGCATACTTAGCAATAACTGACACGATGCCCAATCCTTCACAGCGTGTGTTTGCTGATTTGGTTGCACTCCATAGAGATTTGTCATTAATATCAAGTTAAACGGAGGCAAAGCTTTACTCTCAAGCTGTATAGCTGCATATATTTCACATGTGTGCTGTAAATTGTATTCATTGTTTGTAAGCTGAATGCATATGTGGTTGCTTAGTTAGCACTGTAAAACAA